TTTAAACTGAGATCTTTACATTATCCTCTTAATTAGCTTACTAATTGCTAATTAGCTTTTGCTCTGCGTACATACAATTAAAATAAACCGTTTATTTATTATTTCAAGTAAATTATTTGCGCCGAATGTTTGAAAAGGATGAGAATTGAGTAATATATGAGGGGGTTTAAAATCACTGACACGTTTATCCCACAAGGGAAGGTGTCATCTGCGTTTACTTCTATTTGTAGGACGACGAGACTGTGAAGGGACGTAGAAGAGGGACTGAGCAGTCAAGAAAGAAGGCTTCTTCCTCTTCGCCACGCGGATTGAAGGCAACTCCGGCTGCAGTATATTCTTATATAGGCCTACCGAGTGGAGTTTCGGCAGCTCCCCGAGAAAATTTACGAGCAACGGGCTGATGGGGTTTCCTTGCTTGCCCGAACCCGCTGTCTAATATCTTTACAAAGACTCCCCGGAACTCGGGCCGTTCTCCCCACATCGCGTGGAATATGTCGGGCACATCGCGAGGATGATCTGCGTAATAGAGCGATCACTCCCGTAATCTTGCTCTGTGTAATTACGCGATGCTGTATGTTTGTAACATACGGATAATACGACTGTCATTCTCGAATAGCGGAATAGTGATCGCTCTAACTTTTACGCCTGACTTTCAACGAATGAAGGGTGCGCAATTTTTCTTAGAGTATAAAGAACGATTTGATAATAAAATTAATTTTTAAAAAAAACTTAATTAAAATTAAAATTTAAATACTGCTAGATTTTATTTTGTAAATTATCTATATACATAAAAAAATTTTTATCACTTTTGACATTTAATTATTTTAATAAAGTGTACTATATTTTAATTACAAAACTGCTAATACCGATATTATGATTAATATTTAAATTAACATTCCCCTTTTTATCTCTAGCTAAAATGAATATTGTACGCTACCCGTGGCTATTTAACCATGGCTGGTGATGTAACCCAAGGTGTACTAATTAATCCTTTCAGTTCTGTACATCACAGCGTAATAGGCTATTCCGCTCGATTATACATATATTTAACCACCATACATGAAAGTGTATTTGTTTTAGTAATGGACGATGATAATCGTATAATTAATTCGCAGTGTACAAAGTAAAGCGAATGTATCTGCTGAACAATTCAAAAATATAAACAGCACCGAAAGGGTTGAGAATTGAGAATTTCTTTCATATTTCTGTTCTGTTTCATCGATTAACGTTGTCGTGTCTAAAAGCGTGACGCTTCCTCGCGTCTAAAAGTAAATAACTCTCCCGAGCCTTCACTTTCTTCCTCCGCATCCTCCACTCTCGCGAATTTCGCTCTAGCTTTATTATTTTCCTCTCGATCTCCGCGCGCGTAATTTTACCGATTTCTCTTCTGCTTGTCGTCGCTTCTATGGTATCCCGTACTGCGCTTTCGTCGCGTCGTCTTCTCTCTCATTACGCTCCGGCTCTTTTGTTATCCTTTGTAGAGACACTTGCATGCATATGCGCCGGTATACGTATATTCGTGCTACTCATTTTTCTCGCTTTATCCCCTTATCGCTCCGCTCTCGCCGTCTCCTCTCTTGTGAATATGATATTTCTTAATTCCTACCTGTTCGCGCCTTCGCCTTTGTTATATACTATTGCTCCTCTTATTTTGTCAAATCTTATTCCGACCTCTCGTCTCACACTGATGTTACGTCCGCTGTTCTAACCAACCGCTACTCGTTTCTCCCCCGCTCTTTCCCGCCGCTCGTGTGTCAATCTAGTTCTCATTCTTATGCTTTTTATTTTCTACTTTCTTCTTTTGAAAAACTCTTCTTTCACTTTTTGCTCTACCGCTTTATTGCACCTCGTTTCCATGCTCCATTCTCCATTATCATTTTCTCGTCAACTTTTTCCGCTTCGTCTTCTCCCGCACGGTCTTCATTGTACCTTCTCTCAACTCCCTCAATCTCCTCGATACACACCGCAACTCGCACGCCCGAGATGGATTTTCATTCTCTGCGTGTCATACTTGCATACGACGGGCTTAGGACTTAAATGGCTTAAGTGTATCGCGCTCGGAAGATTTAAGCATATGCATTCCGATTAAACAAACTAGTTAGATAATTGAAATCAAGAAGGCATGAATAATTTCGTGCCAAGATATTCAGGCACCATATTTCGTCTCCCATCGCGTGTAATTTTTTTGCACACAATTTAATTCCAAAAAAAAATTTGCTCGAACCACCAATGACTAAGCCAAATCATCCGCAATAATGACACGACGCACGGTTTATTAGCGGCAGATAACCATTGCCACGACTACTTTTTACTCTTTTTTTCGTTCTAATTCCTCGCGAACGTCGCGGAAACGGCCATTGTCCGAGAAAAAAGGCTCCCCCGCGCGCGTTTAATTCATTTCGCCGATTTCGTATTGTTCCGCGGCTCATTTTTCATCCGGCGCGCGAGTCCATTCGCGGTTCCCTTCTGGTTTCCAGTAACCGAACTGCCGCAAACTCGTGCCGTTCCGAGTTCCAAAAAGTCCGTGCACTTCAACCACAAAAATGTCCCGTACTCTAAGATGACCATGTTTGTAGAATCAGTAGTCGATGCATTTAGGATAATCTGATAATTTTAAATCGAAAATATGATGTATCAAATCTTATAGATAGAAATAAAATAATAGTTGATCCCTCGACGATATTGTCGAGCATCATTTTAACGCAATGTTGAACACATATGTTAAAAGAAATATACTTAATAAAATTATTTAATGTGGGTAAAACTCTGCGAAAGAGAGATTTTTATGAATATACCTGAAGTGCTCTCATTTTAAAAAATTATGAAAGAACACCAAACTTTTTAAATTTTACTTTAATTAACATATTAATTCCGGCACAAAAAAAATATTATCTTCTTCCGGAAGTGAAAGCTGAGGAAATCTCAAATAGATCTTGCTTCTCGCAAGTTGTTAGAAGGTAATATAAATTAATTGTGATATTCGATTATATTCGAAAATGATGAATGAAGTTTTATGCGCATTTCACACAGATATCAGTGGCCGCTTTTTACACGCCATTAAACGGTTGACCCCAATAATGATTTTGAGGTATTAACGTTATCGTGTTTCGGAGCACCCCTGGTGACCGACCGGTCATCTGGGGAAGACACTAGTTCAACTTTCTTTCAATTGAAATCCGCGATTCTGCTCGGAGATAAAAAGGATAAATTACTTCCCTCGTGGGAGAAAAAAATTCAATTAAAAATGGGGGAAACTGCGGACGACAGATGGATTCAAAGGAGGAATAAGCACATACCCGTCCGAAGGTAGAAGCTGAAAATCGTTGATTCGGAAATATTTGCGAGGAATTACGAGGACACGAGCAAGAGCTTTAATGTCGTTCCTCGTGACAATCCATGGAAGGACAAAGTGCACTTATAAGACGCCACTTCTGCATTTTTACGTCAAAAGCACGCATTTATTATACGAGACGCTTGCCGCTTTGACTGCAGATGCAGTTTTTCCCTAATTGTTCCTCTTATGCGACGTCATATATTTAATCTACCGTTATTTGATCCACCGATAAGTATAATTGCGGATAGTATACAAAAAGTATTGCAAATTAAGTATGGTATTTGCTGAAAATCTTAGCCACCTGCCTCCTTGTACGACGTCGACGAAGCACCTTCATTGGTATGATTCATTATCGCGGTCCTTATGAAGGGTCATTAATATTATCCTATGGACAAGCTAACACGCTTCGGCACTAACTAACACTGTAAAAAATTGGTATTATGGCGGCGATACAGCTAAATAATAATAGGAGAGTTTTTTTAGCGACCTTTCGACGAGTAATAACGCTGCGGTCCCGTTATAGAATTATTTTATATTAGGAAATAATGAAAAAAAGTGGAATAATGTGCACTTCGCATATGTGACATATATAAGTATGGTATTTGCTAATATAATTTACGATACGAATTATATTGCGAAAACAGTGAAAAAGAAACTTTAGCTTGCTTTTTTTACTATTTTTTTTAGTACTTTTTTTTAGTTTTCATCAACTTATGAAAACTATTTTAATATTTGTCAGCCAAGTTACCAGCCTCTGTTAATAACTTTGTTACAAAGCCGGTGAGAAAGAATTATTAAAATTTTTTGTCACAGTTTTATTCGCGGGACAGCGTGTTACGTTCGTTTCATGTGTTGCAATAAAATATATTATCCGGTAACACACAATCTCTAATAGGTCTAATAAAGCGGGGCCCCGCGAAAGAGGTTTTAAAATGTAGTTGCAATTATAATTACCGCGCGATCTTTGGCCCCGCAGACAATTTGGAGATGCACTAAATGCCCGTAATGCAATGTGCATTATGATCGCGAGAGAGGTGCGCATAAAGTGTAATCAACGCGGGTGCACGACGAAGCGCGATGCAAAATATACGGGGACGGTACTGGTGTAATTTTAGGATAATTTGAACTCTGTGTGTGCACGCAGAAATATTCGCGCCGTCTCTCCGACTCGTCGCGCTAGAAAATTCTATTTTGCATATTTCGCACGAGTTCTCATGAGTCGCATCCCGTGTATTTCTATATCACGTGAATTCGACATTTTCCAAATAACGCACACGAGATACGAATCTCGCGGTTAAAAAAATTTTAATTCACCACAAATTTGCTAGCAACTTGATACAGTTATTTACATTATTTTTCACAATATTTTTCACATCTTTGTTCTTTTTTTTACCGTTGAAATATTTAAGTAAATATTTGCAAGAGCCAGTAGTGGAAACTATGACACAAAATATAAAAAAATGTTTAAAAATATAAAAATGCAAAACAATACTAATCTTTTAGTAGTTTTTTTTTTGCAAAAATGTAATGGAATTAAATTATTTTTGTATATAAATTTTTATTATTATTAATCTTTGAAAATCTGAAACTGCCAATTTAAGTATAGCGCGAAAATAGTTTCTAATCCTTTAAACTGTAAACTAAAATTTTGTTACGATACTTCCAGAAGTGCAAAGTTGCTGTTTCCGAGTTATAAGGAGAAAGAGATCCTGGGAGAACTGTGTGAATTCTCTCTTCTCGGTAAGATTATTATATATTAATGCCGAAATATCAATACGCGCGAAAATTTTACAAGAGGATCGATATCAAATAGCGAATTTTAGATATCGCCATTATGTTATATCTATTATATCTTAGACGTTGCAAGCGTAACATGCGTTCAAAGCAGTAGTGGTTCATGGTGTTCGACGTGATTTTGATAAAAATTTTACGAGAATAATATTGTGGGAGTAGCAGGTGGTACCTGTCGGGCCGTAGTACTCGCTTCTTGAGATTGCGACGAAAGTTTCGACAAGATTCCACGAATCTATGCATCCGAGAGTAGAAATGAACGTTGCTATATTTTTTAATATTTACTTTTCGGTAAAGTTTTTCAAGCATTGACTAGATGTTGACGTCACCAAGTCCACAAAGTGGCAAACAGAAAATTTAAAAAGTAGAAAATGATGTGCAAGAGTTATAAAAAGTTATGTGTGTACTTCATTTAAAAATAAATATATTATTAAAACATTATTTTCATTGTAATTAGCGCATAATTACTAGAAACCATATTAATATTAATATATAATAACAATATGTTAATTATAATTAATTTGTATTGCTGGTTAATAAAATATTGTAAATAATATATTTTTTGCGCAGGACTCGCTCGGAGGTTGAAAATCCCGACGACAGGTGCAATACTTTTTTCAACTTGTCGATCTCATGAGCGTTCTTAGGTTACGAACTCCCGAATTCGAATGGGATCAAAGGATTGCAGGATCCCGATCAGATGGATGGAACCAATGTGCGGATATCTTCGTCGTGATATGTACTATCCCCAAGCATCCATATCCTTTACACGCGACTCGGTGGAAAACAAATCCCCGGCGGATTCAGTCATTCTCGAGGCGATGCTTATGCACTACGTGGTGTACCAGAACGACACCCGCATTTGCATATGCTCTAGTGACGACGGTGATATTAAAAAAATATATGAAAATAACGTATGAGATTTTTCAACTAGAGATTCGATAGAGAGATAGAAATATGCGAGCCACGCAGCTAAGTATAATTTTATATTTTTGAGTGTCACAAATTTTCTGACTTTTTTAGACTACAAATAAATAAAGACAAATGATGAACTCGAATCGCAGAACTTTATATATTTAACGAATTTCTTCCAAAGTAGATTATAGTTATAAGGTACCGCATTACTTATTTGTATGATCACATTTTGACTTACTATTTAATTTAATCAATAACTTTATTATTGAATTTCATTAATAATAATTGATCGTTTTTGACTTGCCGCTTTAAATATTAACTTTCAAATGTCTCTCTAGCAAATATCTAATAACTAAAGAATTGATAATGACTGCACTAAAGATTTTTTTTTAATGAAAACTTTTATATAGAATATTTTTTTTCATTATTTTTATGTAGCTAGCAAGATATTAAATATATCGTAATCTGTTGTAATGTGCAATTTTATATCAGTAATAATACATTAATAACAGAAATAACAATACGTAAAATTAATATTAATTAATATACGTAATTTTATTTAACAATAAGAAAACTGTAATAAAATGCAATAGAAAAATATAATAATGAAAATATTTTATCTTCTCGGTTCTCGATGAGCAACATTGAGACTCCAATAAAGTTGCGGAATTTATAGAGGAAACATTGTTAAGAGGATATCGAAAGGGCAGGGAGAATACTGCGATATGTAGGTGTAAATAACGCATGGCGTGTAAATGGCCACGGGATGTGAGATGTAGGCAAAACGGAATACGCGAGATTTACGACACGACGTATTAAAGATTCACTCGTTTTTGACACAATATTGTGCAGTATGGAATACTGAAATAATACATAGGTTTGCATATAGCGTGCGTATCTCGCGAGAGAAATGGCTCCCCAGGAGTAACATTGAAACCGTGAGGATATAAGAATAATATCTGTCCCGCGGCAAAAGACGGCTGGATAAAGGAATAAAAATCTCGCAACCGAGGAAATAAAATAGTACGTATAATAATAAGTAACGTAATAAACGATCCTGACGTTTAAATTGGCCGTGATGAAAATTGTGAGCGCCACTTTCCAACATTAACGTTATTCGTGACATTAATTTCCGATCGCGTAAATTCTTTGCTCTAAACGTTGTTGTTGGCTTTAGATATTTTTTTTATATTACTTTTCCACGACAATTTTCAGTTTTGGGATATTTGCAAATCTTACGTAGAAAAATATTTATTACCAAATGTAGTTGCTCAAATGGCCGCTATAAATATCTTAATAAATATTTTAACATTCGCGTATGTGATCTGTCTCTACCTTGCTTCTACGTAATCGGACAGAGAGAGAGGGTACGATAAAACGTGATCACTAAAATCGTGAACGATGTTGGAAGTCGTGGTTCACTAAACAACGAAGTTCGATTAGAACGCGGATTAATTAATTAATGTGGGAAGCTTGCTGTGTGTGTGTGTGTTCGGAATCCAAGACGAATCCTATACTGTAGACTAACGCCGATGTAAGGGATTGCTAAACATCTTACGAATTGCGCTACATTCATCCTGAATATATTTCAATGCATTTAACAATACCTCTTTATTTCCTCCAACTTCTTTTTCCTACAAAAAATAAGAAACTAATTCTTGTAAAATGCTATATTATGACAGTTGCTGTATTATGTAAGTTACATTTGTAATTAATTATTCGGTGCATTTATTGCGATAGCTTTGCGACGTAACTCGTTATCTCAACGAGCAAATGAAATTAGCAAATTTCACTATTTATATAAAAACGAAAGATAACAATCACTTAATTAGCAAGCTCAAGAAAACGAAGGCAAATGACGATTCGCTTTTGACGAATAAATATCAACGCTCAAGACACACAGAGAGAGAGAGAGCTGTCTTTTAAGACAGTTGCGCGTTTGAAACGCTGAGAAATTGATGCAATATTTTTAATTACTCTCATCGAAAGGACGTACTGTTATCACCTACTTACTTCACTCTCGTGATTGAAATAACATGCAGCCTTCATTAAGTGATGCTAATTACGTCGACGAGAGAATCTTACAAATAACATGGCATTGCCTCTTTTACATTACGAAGAAAATTCACTCAATTCTCGAACTTGCGACGAACGTATCTTTATTAAATCGTAATAATCTTACGGAAATGAAAATAATCTGAATAACTTTCTTACGTTTTATGTAAGATCGGACCCAAGAAGCTATTTCATTCTCGAAATATTTAACACGCGAGTAAATTAAAATCCTCTTTCAACAATTAATTAAAGTGAGCGTGCTTGGAGTGAATACAGAATTCTCGGTATGCCGGTGCATTAAAAATCCACGGCGTAACGTCATTTTTGCGAATGCATTTTAATTCGGGATTATATCTTAATCCCAGGAAGATATAGTTGCAATATTTAACACACAAAAAAATTTTTATAATTATTTTATAATTGTTATATCTTTTATTTTCAACCATTTATTTTATTTCTGCTTATGTCTGTTTATATTTTAATTATTAATACATTTATTGAAAAATTGAAAGCGTTTTTAAATTATAAAAATAAAAAACAAGAAAGTCAGTGAATATATTGTAGTAATTTAATGAGAATTTTATAAATAATATATTTTCGTATATATTATACATTTTGAAAACTTGGTTAAGTTGTGTTTACTCATAATTTTGTAATTCTATTTTGATCGATTTAATATTCGTGCGTAAAATTCATCGATGTCTCTTAATAACTCGCAAAATTATTAAAAACTAAAATTGAGAGAGATCAACTTTATTCGTGAAGCAATCATTGGCGAAGTGAATTAAGTTTCTTTTAACGATCAATTAAAGATCGTCGATGCTCGGGAAGAAAGCAAAGATTCTGGGATATCCGCGTGTTGGGTGACGCGGTAGTCCAAACGAGGGAAAGAGACATTAAGGCGCGAATCGGGGAGGGACTCACAGCTCCGAATATTATTCACACTCAATTAAACTTATTGAGAGCCGCGAGAGGCTGCTTGATGGCTCAAGCTGTAATGGCGTAACAATTAATCGCTGAATAGAATTTCCCCCGGTATTCTCTTCGACTTCCTGTCATTCATCAAAACGCTCCCTGATGTAAAGCGCAAGTCACATATTATTCTGCATCTGAACATCGCTTTCGGATTTTGGTGACGTCGACGAAAAAATTTAAAAGCCTATGAAAAAGGCCAGCGAATATTTCGCCGATTAAGTCTTATCTTCATTTTAGTTCAATAAAAGGATTTTTATCGAATCATGTCAACCCTTCGTACAAAGTTGTTTTAAATCACCTTAAATCGATGAAAAATAGAAGAGAACAAAATTGACGAGAAGAAAAGACTTTCAATAAGACTGTAAATAAATCTTTACAAAGCAAAAATTGATCCTCAATTATTTCTTTTGTCAGTCATGTTAAATTGTTTAAACATTTAATTATTTTACTATAAATTATGTATAAAAATATTGTATAAATTGAAGAAACATTTAATATTATCGCGCGTAAAAAGAAGTGAGCAACATCGCCTTCGTTGCCGACCGTTAGTAGAGAAGAGATATGTAAAAGCAGAAACAGAAAAAACAGATGTCTGCTTTCTTTTATTATTCGAAGAGCAGAACGTATACATGGTACAATACACTACGGGTATAACATGTCACAGAACTCAATGCACCGGAACACGGCCTAGATGACTAGTAAAAGAATAAATGTAAGGGTGTATTCATATAAACTTGCATAATTGCATAATGCATAAAGGTAAAAAAATCGACTAATCACATTTAACATAAATTTAATTTTATTAGTTTATTTTCTTATGTATTTGTGCAAGTATGCTAAATATACTCTAAATCGTTTAATAGTGACAGCATAGTGCAAAATTTAAGTACAAAGTCAAGCAGATTCAATATAATTAAGATTCTAAAAATAAAATACAAAAATTAGAAAATTTGTACTACAAAAACGCAGTGGCCATAATAAATAATTGTCTGTATTAATTAATAAGTATTTAATAAAATTTTTTATTACTAGAGAATGTGAGAAAAAATAAAAAACAATACATCTCTTACTATGTTCTACAAAAGCTTGCAACTTTCGATATCGTTACATAAATTTTAATGTCACAGCAAAATATTGGGAAAGAAGAATGAAGCATTTGGTTGTACAAAATTTTTATTTATTTAACGATATATTTTTATGATATATATGTGGTTATACTTTCCATTAGGTACAGTTTAAAAGCTTTTTCTTGTATTTCTTTTCCCTCATTTACTCAAAACGTATACTAAGCATTTGCAATATGCTCATCTTTGTTAACCATCTTTATTTTGTTTTTTATCAAATATAAACCAAGATTCTCTACAAATAGTATATATAGTATCAGGGCCGGCCTTAGGGGGAGAGGGAAAGAGGTGAATTATGCCCTTGAACAGAGACGCCAGAATAGAGGGGACGCTAAAGACGTCTCTCGCGTCCCTTTTGTATAGTAGAAGAGAGCGTCCTTGAACGCCCCTCCTCTATTAATATACGCGTTAAGGAGATTACCTTTTTTTCCATTTTTTTCCTTTTTGTTAATTGTGGCATCGATATGAGGGACTTATGAAAGTTGCACAAAGGCGCCATAGAACCTAAGGCCGGCTCTGTAGAGTATACAAATTGGTACCCCATTCTGAGTCCTTTCTATGATTAAATTGCAACCTAAAAGTAGGAAGTCGTCGGTCACTGTCCCAATGACACACATACATAAACCGAGCACAAAAGAACGGTACTCTAATCAGAGCAAAGAAATTGTTGTCTCTTCGTTATGATTAGAATTCAGTTTCGTGCAATTTCAATTTTCAATATACAGCAGATATTTTCAATATGTGATACAAACCTAAGTTAGAGACACATTGCGAGATGGAAAAAATTAAAATCTTCGATCAAACCTTTGGTGTTGGAAACGGAATGCTTGGTCTATGTATATAAGTCGTCGCGCAATCCCGAGGTTCAACGTTCTCTAAGCGTTCATACAAAGCAATGTACTTCGTCAAATAATAGAAGGCTAGAAAGTAGTCTAATCACTAGCTAACTCATCGGCAGATCATTGTTGCGCGTTGTGCTGCGTCTCCATCAGACATTCCCGTACAGCAACCCTGGCTTGCTGAATCCCATTTTTCAGCCTCTCGGCGGCACTGCGACTGCCCGCATAAGACAGACGGATGTCCCGGCCGAGCTCCTCGATGATCATCAGCAACTTACCATAATTATTCTGGCCAGGCACGCTCTGAAAGTTGATCATGCTGGACGGGCTGGCCTGCGCCACTTGCACGGTCTGCACATTCTGCAGATTCCTGGGATTTGGCACGGTGATCACAGGTTCGGGGATGCGTGGTTGTGGTGGTGGCGGCGGCGGGATCTCTGGCATCTTCTGCATCGTCGATGCCGGAGCAGGCGGAGGCGCTGGATCGTTCAGTTTCGTAATCGTTATCTCATTTAGTTTGGCCAGCTCCGTTAGCTTCGCCATCTCGTTCGCCATTTTCGAGTACTCGGGCATCTTAGCCATGTCGTTTTGCATGTTCTGCATTTTCATCATCTCATTTATCTTCGTCTTTTCGTTAATTTTGGCGATTTCCTTCGCCATCTCGTTGATCTGCGCAAACTCATTCAGCTTCGTGATATCACTGTTGTACTTTGCCATCTCTGTCATTTTTACCATTTCGTTCAACTTGGCTAATTCATTCATTCTCTCGTTCATTCTCTGCACCTCGTTGATCTTGGCCATCTGCTGCGACATCTTCATCATCTCGTTTACTTTTGCTATTTCGCTGATTTTGCTCATATCATTATACTTCGCCATTTCGGAGAGTTTCATTATTTCGTTCATCTTTGCAATCTCCTGCATCTTTATGTATTCCGACGTTTTGGCGTATTCTGCCATCTTTTCCATCTCATATCTCTTTGCCATATCCTGCGACATTTTGTTTAATTCAGAATTCATTTTGCTAAACTCTGCAAGTTGAGCCATTTGAACTATATGTTCAGGTACTTTTCCTCTCTCCATCATTTGTTTCAGTTCCGCAGATATCTTATTCATATTCATCTCCGACATCTGAGCTATAGCAGCGGGATCAGGTGGAGGCATCTTGGACAACTCCGCAATTTTGGAGATTTCTCTCGCAAGGTTCTCATCCAAACAGCGCTTCTTCTTGGCGCGATGCCTGGCCATACGTTGGGCTTCCTGCATTCTCCTTAACGCCGCTTGCTCCTCAGTCTCCTTGGCTCTGGCGTTCTTCATTATCTCCGCAGCCGTATACAATCTGATAGCACGTTCCTCCCCTGTTTCTGACATCTATAATCTCGCATCTCCCTCACTGTCTTCTGGTAAGATCCTCTCTTGGCATTGGGCACAATACAGTGACACAAATTGCATCAATCACATCTGTAATGTGCTCTATCATTTCTTGGAAAATTGACTCACTTGAATAGAACAAATGGACCCATTCAAGCCCAGCTGATTCTTCTGATCTACTATCACTCGCCTTAAGAGGTTAATCACTGGTGTCCGCTTACTTATGCGTGCTCCAACATTTAAAAAAGATCATGTCAGGAGATCAACTGCAACAAAAAAAGTAGTCACGTTATGATATATCAATAATAAGAATAAAAGATGATAAAACAACCGAGCGAGACTGACAATCGTTATAGCGTCTATCGTTACTGCCATCGTTTGTGACGAGCATCTTTACGAAGCGCTTTCTCACGAAAGACCGAGTCTCGACGACGCGTGTAGTCGGCTTATAGTTTCGGTTTAACGATACGTAAATCGCCGATCTCTCCATAGAACAGTAAAAAAAATAGTAGCTTACGGGGAACGTAATTTTTTTCTGTGCGGCGCAAAAACGAACCGAAAAATACTGTTTTCGAACGTAGCGTATGCACATGTATCAGCATGTATGCTTGCCGTTTTCCGATTGTGCGCGCGCGCATTGCAGTTCGGCTTCGTTCATCATACGTGTGCGTGCAACGCGTTTCTCCAACCTGCTCCACTCCAGAAAATTCGAAAGAAGAGCGTTGCCGTCGTCGTCATGTCGGCTTCGGTCGCGTATTCGCACACGCATGCGCATCGAGCTAAGAACGTTGTCTTCTCCTCGCGTTCGGAGACTTCTCTCCTCCCGCCCCGCACCGCATCAACACAATGGCGGAGGCGTTTCGGCCGATCCGTTAAAACATACGATCAACTCACCTTGGCGAAACATCCGCCGTCTTCGTGGCTTTGGTTCACATCTGCGGCTTCCGGCGTACGTGCCGCATTCGTCAGTCCGCGTCACCGGGCGATCCGCTCGCCCTTTCCTCGGAATTATCACGCAAATGAGCGCACAAAGGTGATATCGGCCGACATGTAAGATTTTCGCTCGGGGAGCCACTTTAAGGGGCCACCAAGCGGGGTCGTCGCCGATAGGCTGCGTGTGACGTGGTTGCGTTTATTGACCATAACCCCTTCCTCTCGACGACTATCGTCTGCAACTTCAGACGACAGACAGGTGTACGACCTGCGAAACTATTGACCGACGACCACGGCGCGGCGTCTGCCGGCGGCCTCTGCCTATCCTTCGACGGAGAGCTGCGCATCTTGAAACACGTACAGTGTATGTATATTGCGCGTAGCTAAGACGTCAGCCGTGACGACCGGACGGAATAGGCGACATCGGAGACAGCCATCGGAGAAAATCGAGAGACACTCGAACGCACAGTGGCAATCCAGATGACCGATTTGTGTCTATAGGTACATAAGCGGCTAATGTTTTTTATGTTTTTGCATTGAATTATTCGAAATTTTCATGGAAATTTGCCGAGACATAGAATAATTTTGATAATAGAACATACATCTTTTAAAATAAGGTGTGATGCAACAGTGAATGATGAAACATAAATGTCAATATTATATTTACTTACTAATATTTATAATTTTACTGAAAAATTCAAAAAATCTAAGCGTTCAAAGTATATGCATGTAGACTATATAAAAAGTTAGATTATAAAGCACATAATGTTAAAAATTAGACAGTTTTATACAAAAAAAAATAAATCAGTCAAATATCGTTAAAATTATAAAATCATCAGATCAAGTTGTGAAATATCATACATAAATGAAATAATTTATATAATTAGGGCATAAATTTATATATTAAAAAAGTAAAAAAAAATACAGCATAATTCTTACTTATAGTTTCTCAGTTACAGAAAAGAAAAGAAAATTAAGAACATTGTTAAATTAAGATAAAAATTGTTTAATACTATATATCAACATGTTACAATGCATATGTACATTTATGCATTTAATAAAACAAATAGAAATAACAAACTAATGTGTCGAGATTTCTATAAATATTAAATCGAATAAGAATATATATAGTTGATATTGAAACAAAAGAAGTCTTCAACATTTGCTTTAATCTTCTGGGAATCTGAAAAAATTCTTTTTTTTTTTGTATATCCTTTTTCAAAAAAAGTTTAACATGATCCATTTTCATATATTTTATTTAGTAAACAAATTACTTTTTATATTGACATGCATAAATTGTACTACATAAGGTATTTAAAAACTTGTCATCAATTGGGAGTTTAATAGAAAATATAGATAAGATATAAAAATAAATTAATTATATTTCTTATTATATAATAGAACATTTTGTTTTGTTTCAGGAGTAAAGCTTGTATATATAAAACCAAGGTCCGTAATCTATTGAATAAATCACAATACTAAATAAAAATTACCACAAGAACTGGTTAGCTCCTAATACTATCTAAATTGCACTAATTTAATTGCAATCTATTTAACATGTATATATCGTCATATGAATACTATTTTCTCTTATCATTGGTCATTCTTCCTGTATATCTCTTTTTCAAACTTTGGTCTTGGCTCGGGTGGGAGTTGTTTGTAAATAATTAAATTTCCAACAGTACTTAGAACTGTACCTAATACTATAGACTCTGTCATGTACACATATAATCTTTGGACAAATTAAATTTCTTATAATGCAGTTGTGTGCATTATTTGTTTGTCCTATTAAATTTATTTTCGAGCCTCAATAATAATAATAATAATAATAAATATATATATATATATATGTACATATGTAAAATTTTCATGACTTATGCAACATGACAAAATATATGTTGAAATATATATATTGAAATGTTACAAGTTTCATTAAAATCATAATTTTATAAAATCCAAGAAAAGCAAAAAAAGTTTAAGAGTTAAATCTTATTAGTAATTAAAAGTTCATCCAATCCCATTCTTCCTTGATGCTTCCAAATCCTGAATCTGGCAACATCTTTTCGTGTGATAATGCCAATTACCTAAATAGAATATACCATAAATGAAATATACAGAGTTTATATGATAGATTGCAAAATCTGTATCAGACTTACCTCATTGACATCGTTTACTACTGGCACATGACGTAACCCTAACGCTCTGAAGAGTCTGAACGTTCTTGGCAGTGTTGCGGACTGGAAAGAAAAAAATAACATAAGTTTACATACTTTTATATATAGCAGAGATATCTTGATGTCTCAAAAATTTACTAACATGTGGTATTGTATAAGGAGAAGGATTCATAAAGTGTCTTAAGTCTATAGTGTAAGTTTTCTCATCATCGGTGATATCAACTTGCTCGATGGTTGGATATCTAGGATACTCATTTCTGAACATCTTCATACTTAAAGGTTTCTCCCAGAATTCTTCATATTCGTTGAATACTTTATTTTTCAGAAGTACTATTAACTGAGAACGCAATATCAGACCTCGAAATCGACCGTAAGAATTTATTTCAGCCTGAAAAGATAATACAACCAAAAGTAAATATAAATTATTTGAGACAATTTTACATGATGATTGTAAATGCTTTATTACCTGATCACTACTTGGCGGATCAACTACAGGAAATCCATTGAATGTGACGCATTTCAAAAGCTCAACAATATGTCCTACATTTTCAACAGTCTTCAGAGTAACCACCGGATGACTCATTATCTCACTTGCATAAATATTGTTTGATAGTGGCGGTGGTTCCCACGGAAGTAATGGAATGCCAGCCATTTGTGTATGAATATCATAAATTCCCTAAAAGATAAGTGTACTAATATTAAACACTTGTATAAATATGTATATACACAATGTATTTCATATTTAGGTAATTAAAACAACTTTTGCTACGTTGCTAACAAAAAATAATTTTCTATAAATTTTATTACAGAGATATATAAAAAATAAAATTAATATAATTTTTCTTTTACAATTTTTTCTCATCATTTGTTACTTAATCTGATAAAAGGTATTCAAATTTTAAAAACTTTCAAAGTGAAAAAGCTTTATATAATTTAATACTTACTTCATTAAAGAAATCACCAACCCATTTTGCCATTATAAGGACTATTATGACAGGTAAACCAAAAGATATTCCCTGTGTCGCTTCTATTAAAATTGCAGTTAAACTTATTGTCATTCTAACAACACCTCCTAATTGTGCAGCAGCGCCTAGCAAAGCATATTTTCCAGGATCTAACACTTCCTGCAATATTATATGTAATTCATAGCAATTCGTAATTATTCTGTTTTATACACCTGTCAGTTTTAAGTTTATAACTTACGCAATTTGGACACATCTTCGAGAGAGCCGATCCAATTAATCTACCCCATGCAGATCCAATTAACAGAGATGGAATAAAAAGACCACTTGACATCGATAGGCCAAAAGTAGCAGCAGCAAGAAAGAAATATAATACGACGAAGATGGCTAGCGTGATGTCATTATGAGCTCCTATAAATGCGTTATACATACATATATATATTGCATCTACCTCTTAATTAGGCTATTACTTTTATCGTACGGCATACCTTTAGGATCATGAAACAAAGATCGCACGCTACTCTCTGGAGTTTGAAACCACAAAGCAGCAACGGCACTGTACTCCCCTTCTTTGCAATACATTTGAACTGGAAACTTAGTGGGATCATTACCCAACTGTTTGCAGTCGTTGACGAAATATATCATCAAAGATCCCATAGTGGCACTCAATATTGCAACCAGCAGAGCTTCTATCACTTTCAGCCACTTTCGTGTTACAAATCGCAGACGAAAGCAGGTGATCTTGTAATTAACATGGTTCCAAAAAGCGCCGAGTAATCCGCCAAATGTGCCCATTAACATAAACAGAGGTATTTCATAGATCTGATACGAAATCGACTCAAATTTTCCTAGATTCAACAAGCCTGGATACGAAAGATCGCCAGGATGTTTATGGTATGCACTCAGGGCTAGATTCAAAGTAAATGTAGTAATCATACTGGCGAAAAACGTTCTCCATGTTAAGCTTTGGTTAAAAAAACTAGTTCCCTCTTCTATACTGAATAAGACTCCACCTAAACAATTAAAAAATTGCAAATATTTTAATTTTGCAAGGTGTATTTGTTCTTCAATGATGTTTAATAATCATTCAACTAGATATTTATCTTGAATATTTATTAAATTTTCAATATTTTGTATATAATATTTACCAATTGGTGCTCCAAAAGCGGCTGAAACTCCAGATGCAGCACCTCCGGCCACAAAGTCTCGTTTTTCATGATCTTCTCGAAAATATTTGAATATCTTCAAATCTTTCCTAAAAGTTGTACTTTTGCCTTGAGAAATTCCCGCAGCAACAACAGCACCAGAGTGAATCATAGGACCTTCCTGCACAATAAATATGAGATATAATTAATTTTGATAAATGTGACGAATGAAAAGATAGACCACTTACTTTGCCTCCAGCTAGACCTCCAACTACAGTACATATGACACCAATAGTTTTTACAGCTAGAGTTTTGATGCGCACAACTCGTGGTACTTTGATTCCATTCAAGTAACATTTTACCTGTGGAATACCACTTCCTGCGGCAACAGGTTCTATATAGGCTACTAAGATAGCACCTATTAAAACTGGCACTATATTTAATACTAACCACATCATATATGGTAACCATAGGCAACCTTCTACCACACAATGATCCACATCTATCACATAAAGAATGTGTATTATTTTACAACATTATTATGCAGCATATTATCTACTTGCATAAATGAGATATGTTACATACATTTCTTAAGCCAACCATATTTCACACTAGACAATTCTTCTATCGATATATTTACAAAGAATGCTATGAGAGCAGTGCAGATTCCAATCAAAAGGAAGATAAACCACCTGGCAAAGTCCTTTTTGACAACAAACTTGTATCCTTTCTTCCTTTCTTCATCTTGCAAAAGATAATTCTCACAGGGGTCATAATCCAAACTCTGGAAACAAAAATATAATCAATTTATCGTACCAAGAGAAAATGAAAGAATATGTAAAAACATCCAAATAAAGGTAAATATTTTGAATGAAATAGTCATGATCATTGCCAAAAATTAATTATTGGGTGATTACCTCGTAATTGGTTGACAGGAAATTGGTCGCTCCAGGGGTTACATCCGAGGTGGTCAATCTTCTGGACTGACCCGAGATAGCCTCTATGTTACTGCATATTGTGATATTGTTGACAGTGCTCTGTTAACAATGTGGAATGTTTTATAAGAATATTTCTAGAAATGACGTTCATTAATGACTATTTTAAAACGCTTATCTAGATGAGTAATGTCATGCCAAAACACAGAAGTGTCATAACCTAACAGAAAATAAATATAAGACAGATCTTTATAACGAGTTATAAAATTTAATTTACTCGAAATCGAACGTCGACATCTTCGTTAGCGTATGATGCAAAATTATTTCTTGGTTTGATAAGTCTTTCTCCATCGTCGTCGTACACGTCGATACGATCGCCATCACCATCATTGTTCTCCGCACCAGTATGAGTCGACGGATTCATCATTTTCAGGTGACACAATTTGAGATTTACTTTTGAAATAAGATTTCATCGCATCTCAGACATTTGCACAACGTGGCTAACTGATCTACGCAGAAAGACTAAAATATAGACTAGTTGACATCGTTTTGTAATGTTGACATTATACGCGCAATTGTACAGCGACGAGAATGACGCACTCTTGGCGCGTGTATGCGAGCGTATGTATACATATATGTATCAGAAAAATGATAAACTGAATCGGACACGTGATTACTCCCGACTTGTGCCGAATGATTCATTGCTATACGCATAAATCCGGAAGCGTAGCCGTGATGAACCAATGACCGATAAAGTACGTTATTGCTATGACATTTTATCGCCAAAGCACGTAACGACACACGTGCAACTCACGCATGCGTGGACCCATTTTAAATCAGATTGAGGGAGATCATCGTGGAGGTCAAGGTTGTTCGAGGCCGTATACTTTATTCCTCTTCTTCAGGGGGATTCCAAGAGTATTCCATGTAACAAAAAATCACGTAGTACCTGACAAATGTTTAGATTCTTGTACATATTTTTTTTATTATATTCTTAGATTATTATATATATTCTAATAATGCTTTAGAACTAGCAACTTTTTTTATATCTTTGAATTCTTTAACTAATATCACTTGTCAGAATCAACTGTTTGAGAAATAAACATGAATTAACAGGAATCAAACAAAATTAACATTACATATTGAAGAATAATTTAACTTGCATCATAAATATTAATTATTCAAGTAATAATTTTAGTATATTTGTAAGAAATTAATAAGTTAATACGAACTGTCAAAAGACATTGTCAATCATATACGTGAAGCATATTTTTTTAAATCTTTTCTTAACTAAAATGTATTAAAAATGAGACTGAGTGTCAAACGTGAAATAGAATAGAAATATGAAACATCAAAATGTGATTTCGATTATATTTTCAGTAAATTCTTAAATCTAGTCTATCGTATTTGTTCTTATAATTTTAATAATTCCAATTTATGTTTACATCACTGGAATGCGCATAAAATTCCAAATGTAAAATAAGGAACACTACTTTTTTAAATATCTTAGAATACGATATATTTGCAATATACACTAATGCTAACTAAAGTTTCGGTTATCGGCGTTTCTAACTTCCAGGTACAACGTGAACAGTGTGTGAAGAGCTTCCAGTCTGGCGTTATCCTGTGTGGGAATATCCAAAAAGTTGCAGACTATGTCGACCAATTGCGGCAAGTCACAGTCGAGCTCCGACAGGTCCAGTTGCAGCTCGTTGAGCTTGTCCTCCACCTGCGGTGGCCACTGCTGCATCAGATTGTCGATGTCTGGCATCGCGTGATTCAAGTGCACCGCCGGCGGATGTTTGCTCCGATGTAGCTGATTCATGTCGTCGATCCATTTGTCGATTGCTTTGCTGTTTTTCTCGGCATCCTCGATCCTTTTAACAACCGCCTGCCTAGCTGCAGCATTGGCACTCCTCGAGTGGGTACGCAACTGCAGCTGCAACACCGCTGGATCCGATTGATCAGTACAAGGCTCGTCCAACACCGTCAGACCAATCTTATCCTCGACACCGTCGGGCCGAGGTACCTTTATGAAGGCGTCTATGTCGCCGACCGCAGGTATGTAATCAGGGATGAACGGCATCAGCTTGTAGCTCAGCTCAATCTTCTGCGGCGCATACCTGGATCAATCAGCGTCCGAGATAAATTGTTAAGTCACTAAGAACAATGACTCGAGAATTTATAAAGCAATAAAAATGTTTGCCTGCTTATATTCTGAAACAGTTCCTTGACTTCCGTCGACGCCTCCAGATTCTCGAACTCTTTGGGGTCGTACAGGTCGATCGGATTCGTAACATTCGTGCCTTGTATGTCATCGTCATCGCTTTCTTCACTGTCCGATGGATCGCTGTCAATCCTCTCTGATTTGTCGAAGCCGACTTCGTTGTTCGAGTATCTGCTTATAATCAATCGTACGAATATAAGATTTTTTTCCAAAGAAACATTAATTTTGGGTTTATTTCACATCTATGAATAGATTTATACAACGAAGGAATCTCTGTTGCGTGAGATTTCTACAAAACTGACATCATTATCCGCAACATTACAGCAATCCGCATTATTGCAACGGCATTTAATAAGTATAATTTGCATACATTTCACATTGCAATTACCTTCTAAATTCGTGCTTCCTGTCATGCGGCGAGCTGGATTCTAACGTATTCGAGCTGTCGCTTGTCATGCTTTTCCTGGTTTTCCTAGAAGAACTCACAGGCCGACGATTTACCGGGCTCTTCACCTCCTCAGCGTTTCGTACTACGATGCTTTCGTCGAATTTACTAAACGCGACGTCGTGTCTTGTCTCATCCTCTTCGTCGCTGCTGTCCTTAATGTCCATGACTCGCGCTGAGGAAGGACGCCCATTGGAGCGTCCCTCGATGATTGCCCGCAGAGTCTGTATGGCGACGAGTGTGGATAAACTAGGGCGAGAATTATACAATAGATTTTATCTAGATTTATGCAGATTTATGCTTGTTTAATAGCAAAAAAGAATACTCTGTCTGGCACTACTTGTCGTATCGAACAGCAAGTGGGGGTTTGTTTCCTCTACGTTGCCATAGTTTTATCGATCTAGATCAGCTGTTCAAGAAATAACTACCATGAATTAATTAATAGTAGGAATAAAAGAATGTAATTAATATTACATAATTTACGTAACATATATAACATATTAAATAATATTTTAACGTAAATATATATAAATAGTAAATATTATTTTACGTAACATATTAAATAATAATTTAATTCTGATATAGATAAATTAATTTCATTAATCTTTACTTAATCTAAAAAAACAAGAATAACTTTTATTTATTAGAAAGAATTTTTAAAATACTTTATTACATTAATAATAAATTATTATATCTACATTATTAATAAATAATAATTTAGAGTTTTTTAGAAATAAATAAATTTGATAATTCAAATTAGATAATGCAAACGACTAAAAAATATGACAATGCGCGAAGTTAAATTTCCTCTTATTTTATTTATAGTTATGTGTAACGTGCTTTAATCACTATACATTGCCATAATCATGTGACTTTACCAGGATATTTATAACCGCCTTGATGCAGCGGGTAATTTCCTACTCATTTCCGAACAATATTCTGTTTCATGTATGTTAATTAATAGAAATCCCCGACTTTGCGGGATAATTTAACGAAATGCGTAGAATAGAACAAGCGTTGAATGGTATAATGTATAATTACATGTTTATCGAATTCAAGCAATTGCAATTATTGTGAAGTTAATGATTATATCTCTCGAAGCAATATTCTACTTACGCAATACTACAATGTAGGATTTACACTTGCTATTTTGCTTATTTTCTTATTTTCTTTTTAATTGTTTTAATTTATAGCAATACTGCATTATTTAAAAATTTTTTTGTCTTATTAATTATTTATTAATTAATTAATTTTGCTACAAAAAGTACTGTGTAAGTTTAATAAATTTATTTTTGAATTTATTTTTGAATTTATTTTTAAGTAGAAAAGAATAATTTCCTATTTAGTAGAAAAAATCATAAGCTTGTATTTAATCATTTTTGAAGGGACGAGGCTTAAATATTTCTCGTGCTAAACTAACTATTTAAAAGTTTTAATTAACAAAACTTTTTTGCCGCATTCTTTTATCATAAACGCCGACGTCGTATCGATCGCTTCATCGGACTCAATCTTTGCGTATAATCCACATAATCCTATAAGACACTGTCCACGGAGATAAAGCCGGCTTCCACTTTATGACATGCAATGCAGACAAGTGTAATAAATTATTATGTGATTGCACACGTGTCGTTATCTACCGATAACGCACACTCCTTAAGGGTTAATCGCCATTAACGAGATGTAGAACCAATCAGTAAGAACTTAGTTGGTTATAATAAAGCGTTTATTAACATTTGTTATAAGTCGATTACAAACACGCGTATAATCTCGCATGCAGACATTGCATCCAATGATATACACGTGACACACAAAGATTGATAAAAAAATGATAAAAAAGCTTCTCCAAAGAAGCGCAATCATAGTGCACATCGCACCATTAAAAAACATTATAAATAGCAACAAGGAAAATAGCTATAATCATCAAAAAACGATTATAATTATTATATAATCGCGACATTTCTCAGGCAAGGATAATATTTCTCATCTTAAATTAAATGACAAATTGTCTTAAATTACGCGCTGCTCTTTTCGTTTTGTTGCGTTAATGCGATTAACACTTCTCTTCTCTCCTCTTTTTTATATCGGATACTTTCCATAAACATGACCGCTCCTGGTACGTCTTATCAACCATTCCCTGGATGTTGTTTGAGAAGCACGACGACCAGTTTGCGTCTGGTGAGAGTAGCCGGGCCGCACGCTGTAATTCAAATTTTTTGATCCTGAAAACAGAAAAAAATTTTATTTTGCAAAATATTTTGTTAAATTATTTCGACAGTTTTTTTTTTGCTAGAACGTATCTCATATCTGGATTCATGTAACAGAATGTGGAAATTAAAATTTGTATCAATGTATGAAATTAAAAAAATAATATTTTTAAAATTTTACAAGTTCTAGAATAAAATAGAAGAATCAGAAAAAAATGTGTAGTTTGTTGTAGTGATTTAAAAATAAGTTATATAAAAAGAGATCTTGTATTTGTAGCTGTTTCTTTTTATTATGTGCCATATAAAAAAATGTATTAATTTGTTTTTTAAAAAAGAAATTCTTACGCGATGACATCCTGCTTTTCGCGATAGTTGGACGCAAAATACTCTGCATTTTGGGGATAATGTTGCATGGTAGACTTATCGAATCACCGCAAGCATGATGGCAATTTATTAAATCTGAGCTTACAGATCTCGAATACCAATAGGACGACAAATCTTCCTTGAAAGCCATGGAAATCCTGTCAATCGCAAAAATATTTCAATTAAATCTGTACATCTATTATATATCATAATTATTGCTCAAAATAATATAATTCAACTTTATTATTCAATTTAAAATTATTTAATTAAAAATGTTTTAATATGAAGTAATCAATTTAATTTGAAAATTTAATTTTAATTAATGAATTAATGAAATTTCTTTCTTTATGATTTTTTTTTTAAAACGAGAACTTACGCCTCAATGTTGCTCGTATCGTAATTCGACACTTCATTTTTGGGGGAATTTGCAGACAGAATCATGAATGCGAAGAGGAGTCCGCAAACGGTGAAAAATACAAAAAAGTCGGCAGCTGCATCCTGTGATGGAGCGCCTCGTATCTGCGAATTCGCGTTATCGAAATCTTCCATCGGCGCGAACCACGTAAACTCACGGAAGATAAAGTCCTGAAATTGAGTAGATCAAATTGCAAAGATAGACTGGGCATATTAATATATGTAACGAGAGATAAAAACCCTCGCATAACTCGCCGACAATCTGATTCTTATCAGTTGCGTAGCAACAAAATGTGTACAACATATTGACATAAATAGCAATGCGATAAGAATATTTTATCTCTCTAATACTGTCAATTACTTTTAAATGCAAGCAGGTTAAATTTGAAAAAAACATACTCGTAAAAATATCAAAATTTGTCGAGCAATCAGTTGGATGAGATAATATGCGTCGCTCAGATTGTCCATCGTTGATCGTTCAATGATTGTCTTGAAGTTGATTTAAACGGCGTTTTTCAAAAATATATACGATTTCCGGTTTGTGTCATTTCTCGCCAAAAAAGATCACTCGATCTGTTAACTGCAAAATTAGACAAAGACATCGCGGATCGAAATGACAGTCATTTTTGTTCAAAACTACATTCTTGACATTAAAAAAACAAATTGAAGAATTAAGAGAAATGTGGTAAAGATATAATGCAAACTAAATTTCGAAGTGACAGAAGACAGCATTTCTAAGATGTAACTTCTCTACATTTTTATTAAAATTAATTTATTAAAATTATTAAAAAAATAATTAACATAAATGTATTCGTATGCATTTGCGTTTCTCATGTAACACTGACCAGAATAAGACGCAATTCGGTTTTTTCATTCTCGCGCATATTCTGCGGGTGGATACCGTTATTATCGTGCACTACGTAAAAGCGGACCTTGGTCAGTATTACAAGATATGACATATAAGAGTCGCGCATTTTATGCTAGTTGATACACATATTATACAACCGACAATCGCGCGATAGCGAGTGGACTGGAATAAATTATCACACAAAACTATGCATTATTGATTAATTTTAACATCCTTTCTTATTTTGCAATCACTAAACTAATTTTTTTTTTTTTTTCTTCTTTTGTTACGAAAATCCAGCGTTATAATATAGTTGATTAAGATTTACATATTTATCAATCTGCGAAAACAGAAAAATTTTTTGGTATTTTATCAATCTGTACTATCGAACGTGAATAGTGACATGCGCAAAAAAAACAATTTTATATTTCAATGTACAGTGCAAGGAAAAAATTGGCGTGATTTCTCGTTTTTAACGTCACAATTTAATGTGTGCCTTATTGCATTGCCTTGTGCTAGTTATATCATGATGCAGTAATGCATAAATATTAATATTTATTTAATATTATACTTACATAGTAAGTGCTTGCGTATTTATTAGCAGAGCTACGCCTTGCTAATCGATAAATCAATTTACGTATCAGATTTACACGACAGATAATTTGCGTCTAATGAGAACTGCATCTCGCAGATGAGCTCATTGTATTATCTACGTTTCGCAAATTTTTATAAACGTCACTACGTGTTGTACTATTGTGTCCAGTAATGGAAAATTTTTTTCGGGTAACTTTCAAGAACTTCTAAGAAGATAATTAAAGACGTCAAATAAAAATACTCAACAGGGGGGTAACAAAAGCATCAAATGTCGTAAAAGTCTAACTTCAACAAATCCGCATAATGTAAACATCGGAAACATTGATTACTCGGCGCACAATATGCCATCTGACAGACACGTGTCTCCTTTAATTCTTTTTCTGTTTGTCAGATCGAGATTTGCAAAAGTAATCCGGCAATTTCATCGTTGCATCATAACTTACAATTTTTATAACTTTACGATGCTGACCTAGTCTCGTTTTTTTTTTTTTTTTTTTTTTGAGATAAAACAATTCCAGTACCTGAAGTACTACTTTAGCATTTAATATCAATATTTATTGGAAAATAAATATAAATGCGAGTTCTCCGTACTTTATACGGCGCGTTAAGCTGACCGAGATAATTCAATTGCAAATAACTTTTACGATATCAAGCCTGCTTTCATATTCTTTGAAAATTATTAATTATGAGAATAATAATTAAAACTAAAAATTTAAAAAAAAATCATGATAAACCACTTTGAAATTATACTGATTGAGCTCCTACTTCCGCATAGCTAACGACTAAGTTGCTAATTTTCAGTTATTATCACAATCTTTATATTTCTTATTTCCTTTAATTCATTTATTTTAAATGTATTTTCTTACAAAACAAATGTAAAAGATATTATAAATATTAAGATAACAAAATAACATATAAAAAGGGCAATAATATGTGAAAGAGAAAAGAGAAAGATGTAGAAAGTATTTCAAGTAAAAATTTTAATAATCTTAATATAATTTTTGCACACAAGTGTACTAACGCATTTACATTATAAATAGATCAAAAAATAAGGTCGTTAATCTAAGAGATACAGTTTATTGTATGTTAAACTGCTAGCTCATAGCTGCGCTCATTGCTTCACGAAGGAGAAGATGAAAGCTGCTGTTTCACGTGACATAGCGTGTAAAGTAACATACACGGAGAACTGGTGTCTAATTGGAGAAGGATATAACTCTATCCAGCTTCGCGGGATTTGTTGACCAATCTACGACCAACGAGTGGGACAGATCTCACGTTGCGACCTCGAAGTCGCGCGCGGATGCAAGGAGCGGAATCCAGGTGTCTTTATCTCTCGTCAGTCCGGGTATTCGCAGACGCGACAGCGTCCTCGTGTGCGAAGTTACCAATCTCGCGGACGCTTCCGGATGGATTCGCCAAGAGACAGAATTTTTATCTTTTGATTGCATTTCGTGGACCACTGAACTGTTTTCTTGGAAATTCATAAAACGCCAGTTAATAATATTCTGAAATTAGTGCGCCGAATTAGAAATCGCGAATGCGTGTTTTTGACTTAAAACAAAATTAGTGTTAATTTAAACTAATGGTGGAATATAAAATATACATTATATGCATGGTTTGTAAAATCTTAAAGAAGATATCGTGTAAACAATAGTGTAATTAAAAAATCGTGATCTCAATTTCTCAAGTAGTTTATCGTGAAATTGTTAGTTTTAATCGTCGATATCTTATCATAAAATATTGTTGAATGAAGATAGGATAAAGATTATTTTCTCTCAAGAAGATTACCGCGAGAATCTTCTTCAGAATTATCTGCGGAAAACTCTGGTAGAGTTTTTCACGCTCGACAATAAGCGTTAACACTTCGGATTTGCGAATATTTGTTAAAGACCGGCTGTTATTTTTTGTGTGCAATATAATGACAAAGATGGAAAAAATCGAAAGTGGCGTTTATGTAAGATTCTCTTGAATTAAAATAAGATTTTGGTATCGCGGTTTTTTTTATTAAATTTATTCGAACATCGCAAATCGCTTTTCAGAAACAAAGCGGATATATTAACGAGGCCTTCCAGTTGGACGGTTTGCCTTTCGACTCTCACGAGAATATTCCACCTGATTACAACACGACGACACATTCTGAAAAACAGCAGGAACCGGAAGTACGTATTATCGTATTAGATTAAAAAACAAAAGTAATATTGCAATAATAAATAATAAATTTTCGATTATCAGGCGGGCGTTGAGAAAGCGGAATGGGGAGGTAGACTAGAATTTTTGATGGCTTGTATAGCCACTTCCGTCGGATTGGGGAACGTGTGGAGGTTTCCGTTCACCGCGTACGAGAATGGCGGTGGCGCCTTTCTAATACCCTACATCATAGTCCTGCTCCTTGTCGGAAAACCGTTTTATCTTCTCGAGGGACTTCTGGGGCAGTTTACCAGCAAATCATGTGGAAAAGCGTGGTACATGGCGCCGGCCATGAAGGGTGAGACGATCCATTTCATTCAAGAGAAATAAAAAAGATATTTTTTTCAATAACATTTATCTTGTATACAGGCTATTTTGCAATAGATTTTTTCGCAAATTCTTCAAGTAGAAATTATTCTCTCAGTCTTATTTCTTGTATATCGAGATCGTACGGCGCTTTTATGAGACTCGATTTCAGGATTAGGATACGCGCAGATTTTCGCCGCGTTCTGCGTCGTCTCGTACTACAGCGCCCTGATGGCATTAACCCTATATTATTTGGTGGCGAGTTTCCAGGCCGAATTACCGTGGTCGATCTGTCAACCGGAATGGCAGGATTACTGCATCGACATAAAGTCAAATTACACTAAACAGAATAGTACTGTACCCATTCGAAGTTCCGCCGAGCTGTACTTCAGGTTCGAAAAACAATATTCAAAAATTGTTTACTAAAAATCTTAATCTTTTTAATCTTTTTTGTCCATATCAATGAGTTTCTTCTGATGTTCTTAAAGATTAACGTGACCCTTCTTGCGTGACTTTCAGGAAGGTGGTGTTGCAGGAATACGATTCAATCGAAAGCGGTATCGGCGCGCCATCCTGGCAACTATCGATATGCCTATTTTTCAGCTGGGGCAGCGTCTTCGCAATATTATTTCGCGGCGTGAAGAGCACAGGCAAGGCTGCCTATTTCCTCGCATTGTTCCCTTACGTCGTAATGATAGCCTTGCTGATTCGAGCCGTCACTCTCGACGGTGCTGTCAACGGCATCCTTTACTTTATCACGCCGAATTGGGAAGCTCTGTGGAAGCCCACCGTCTGGTACGCCGCTATCACGCAGTGCTTCTTCTCGCTATCAGTTTGCTTTGGCCCGATCATCAGTTATTCATCCTACAATAATTTCGAACACAGAGTGGACAGGTGGGACAAACCTTGATAAACCTTAAAATTATTTTTCGAATGTCAGAATTTGAGAATTAAAAATCTATTATATTATAGAAAAAAAGTTGTATAAGTAGAACACTATCTTCTTTTTCTATTGCTTTAGAGATGTGATGATAGTCACCACGCTAGACACGTTCACCAGCCTAATGGCCGGCTGCACGATCTTTGGTATCCTCGGTAATCTGGCCCACGAATTAAATGAAGAAGACATCGCCAAGGTGGTGCGCGGTGGCACCGGTCTCGCCTTCATCTCGTATCCGGACGCGTTATCGCGCTTCACCTTCGTGCCGCAGCTATTTGCCGTGTTGTTCTTCATCATGCTATTCGTTCTCGGCACCGGAAGCTCCGTCGCGTTGTGCGGTGCGATATTCAACGTTTTTCGCGATCACCTGCCGCAGTTGAAGCTGTGGATGCTGGCACTTTGCGTCACCTGCTTCGGCTTCGTCATCAGTCTTGTCTACATAACTCCGGTACGTTTAAATGGTTCGCTTAAACTTGCCTTCTAGTACAAAGATATTATTTTGACGACTATTATTTATAAATATCTTGCCAGATATTATTAATATTAACTTTACCTATATAATATTGAATAAAATATCAGAGATGATGTGCATTTATTTTAATTATAAAAAAATTGTGTAAAAAAAGAACACAATTATTATACTAATCGATGTTTGTTGCTTCTGAAATTATAATATAAAAAATATTCTTACATACCTCTTCCAACAATCAGATAAAGATTTTAAAAATACTGAAAATCAGATAAAGATATCTTAGATAAAATGTTCTAAGAATTATTGGTAATGTTTACGTTAGTTTAACATTAAAAATAAATAAATTGATTACAGGGCGGCCAATGGTTTATAACGTTGGTTGATTATTATGGAGGTACCTTTGTAGCGATAATCGTCGGCGTTCTCGAGATGATAACCATTTTTTGGGTGTACGGTTTATTGAATTTCCTTGACGACATGGAATTCATGCTAGGTAGCAGACTAGGTATCTACTGGCGATTGTGCTGGTTTCTGATCACGCCTCTACTCATGATTGTCATACTAATTTATACGTGCGTTACGTACGAGTCTCCTCTGTACTATGGTATCCGATTTCCCGATTACGCTTATGGTCAGTGAAATCTTTTCCATATATACACGGAGAAAATTTTATATCCAAAATTACTATGTACGGTAGTAGCCGCGGACCATGAAGGAATTATAAAAATTTTCACTGTGTTTTTCACATGTGAAACATAATAAAAATTTTCGGTCCGCGGCTTTATAGTCCACGGTTATTGCCGTACATAGTAATTTTTGATATAAAGTTTTCTCCGTGTAGAATTTTGTACATAGAATAGGCCACAAAATTATAATGCCAACATACGCAAAATTCTTGCCTTTCTATTTTCAGGAATTGGATGGTTCGTGCTGGCTCTAGGAGTATCCCCTATATTATGGTCTATCGGGCAGAAAATAGTCACAAATAAAATATCGTCCTTTACGGAGGTAAGGTATCTTAAAGTATATAATAACATTAATCGGATTTCACAGAATATAAGTCTTTTCCTTAACACACTTTAGTCCGTCAAAATGGCATTTCGACCTGTGGAAGGTAAATGGGGACCTAATAATCCAAAGATACGCAAACAATGGGAGGAGTATGTGGCGGAGAAGAGATTCGGTGCTCAAACCGGTTTGATGAAGACGATTTTTAAATAAACAATTTTATTTATTTGTGTTCCATCTTCTTCTCTTAATTAACTGTGTACTTTGATTTAATTATCCATTAGCTAGTGTAAAATGTAACAGAAAAAAAATCGTTTGTTTCACACATAGTTCTGCACATATGTATATATTACACAATATGTTATATTTTGTTACATAAATATATTGTTATTTATCAAGCGACGCAGTAGCGTCATGACACCAAGTACATAAAAAAGTACCAAGTACATAAAAAAGATCTTACAAAGGTAAAAAAATATGCGCTAGAGAGAAAAGTTGAGAGATCTTTTAATTCTGTATTATTGTGTGTATTACAACCCTAAATCGTATAGTGTTTATTATAAAGTTTATAACATACGTGCAAGTACTTAGCTAATTGCATTTCACATTTATTTTTGAAATAAAATCTTTATTGATATAAATTTGGATACTTTTTTATGGCGTATTTTTTTTACCTTTGTAAAATGAATTATATTTTGTGTAATAAAATCATATTATCCGGCGATTTTCGAGGCGAGATTTTTTTAAGTATCTTTGCAGAAAATTAAAACAGCAGTATAAAAAAATGTACAATACGCTGTTCACGATTTACACATACCTATACAATGACTAGTACGATTTTTTACTCTAACTTACGCCATGAATCATATCGCACGCTTTATGCTCCCGATACGCGATCGGACACGAGTGCGTCGCACAAAAGTTGTCGTTTTAATTATGCACGGATGTAATTACGAGACATCGATCACATTACATAAGATCTGTACAGGTTAACATATCTCAACATAATTTGTTCCTTGATTCAATTCCTCCGTACGGAATTGTGTCGACTTATTTATTATTACGTGGACATCAGGAACTAATTAAGCGAAACATGTCATTATAGAAATCTACACGATTGTTTTCTTATTTCTTTCCGCAACATTCCTCGCGTGCTCGCCTGATAATTGAGATTTATTGGCAATCTCGATAAGCTTCCTTATTTCTTTATACTTAGGATGAAGAAAATTATTATACAGTTAAGTTGTACGATAGAATGCGTCGCTCTTGCAATAATCGATCAAATTAATATTCATCGAACTGAAAACTCGCAAATTTATTCTTAATAAAGGGCTATTTTATTAGTCGAATACCTTATCTATATTTATAGAATTATACTTGTATGAGTTAAAGGAACGAGTGACGCGATACTATAATTTACTATTAACTACATGACATTAGGCTTCTAAACATTCTCAATCTTCTGCAACAATGTCGACGATAATCACTTCAATTTCAATTCAGAGATTGAGCTGAATCAATAGCTAACACTATAAAGATGATGATAGTCGCAGGAACTAATCGCACTCAATTCACCTTGTTATTAAATATCATTCACATTACTCACTTCAGATAAACCTTAACAGGTGCGAATCTTTAAACATACCACGATTCAACATGCGATACAGTGTAACGTTAACGACAGCGAAAAAAATTCCTCTTTTTATTATCTCTGCAAGAATCTGTCAATGACATCATCTGTTCCACCGCTTCCGTTCCACTTTTTCCGCGATTTACCGCAAATTTTGCAAGGAGTTTCCGACTTTATGCTGAAAAACCGAGATTTGATTGTAATTTTTTTTTCTATTTATCTTAAGGAAATCCCAATTATCGAGCCGACCACTCAATACTCTTTTTTGCGACTGAAGTAAAAACATAGCGAGAAATATTTTTCGCTTGTGAAGTTACACAAAGCAATATATTCCCAGACAACATGCATGTCTTAAAGATATTCAAAAGACGTCTAAAAGACATCTGAAAAAAAAATGACGTCTTTTGACCATCTTTCAGATGTCTTTAAGACATGCGTGTTGTCTGGATATTTCCTCGCCGAAGTGAAAGAAAAAACGAAAAGATTTTTCTCGTTGTATAATCTACTATTATAACATATATTGCATGACTAAAGATTTGTGCAAAACAAACAGTGCAAGATATGATAAAAAGGTGGGGAGTGGGAAAACGTTAAAGTCGGATTGAGTCGGATCTTGATTACCGTGAATACTCGCGCGCAATTTAATCTGAAGAAAAGGATTGCGCGTGATCTCTATGTACGCGAACACGTCGCGCGAATTCTTTAAGCAGTCTATCAAAGTCCGTCGACTGGCTAAGAACTCGCGTAAGGAATTCTCGAAAAAAAGAAACCAAACAGTGGACAATATCGCATGCGAATAATAATCAATCGCACGTCTCGAACGAGTCAGCATGGACCATACGAAGGTTCGCCATCCACATATATTGCATATTATTATAATGGTGCAAATAAAAGGAAAAAGTGTGGGGAAAATTTTTTTTAAATATACAGATGACTTTGAAAATTACGTATTCAGAATAATATCTCATCAAATATGCGCTTGTAATATCGAGACTGAGAAATCTAAAGCTCTTTACAACCGAATTATTACTGTTATTAAACTAACCAAATTATATGAATAATTACTGTTTGCATATAACTCATTATTCGACGATTTGGCACGATCCTATTTACGCAGATAAATGTATATGTTTGCTTAGATACGTGTCTGTTGTTTGGACGCGTATGCCGTCACCGTCATTTTATTAAATAGTCATTAATGATTATTTGGCCAAAATATGTCAGAAATTGTATACACAAGCGTATTCGTTTATTTTAAGAATACCTATTGCTTATATGCACAAAGTAAAATTTTTTTTTAATTTTAAACTTAATTTATAATGAATTTTTTTCTACAAAAATTTAAATTTATTAGTATGCCAAATATTCAAGCAAAAATTTTAAGTAATTTGCAGTGAAGATAAGTGCCTTTTTATTAATTAGTTTTCAAAATAAAAGTGAATAATAAAACTATATTTTTTAATTAATTTCAAGTAAATTTATTTAAATTAGTAATTTTGTTTTTATAAAATTTAAATTTAAGATTTTATTATAAAGATAAGATATCATAAAAAACATTAATATTTCTCGATCATTTTTTACTGAAAAAATTGATTTAAATTATCTCAAAAAATTTAAAAATTAAAAACTTTTCCATTAAAGATAGGATATTCTATTAACATTCGACATTTCAAAACATCATAAAATATTAAGTCGTGTAGTCTGATTGTGAGACAATCCTAAGATTACTGTTTCTTTATTATTGTCGTGGAGCGATTAACTTATTGTAAAAAGCATATTATCATAAGTGTTTTTAACTAGTTTTATGATAAGATAGAAATGTGTTTATTGAAAAAAACATTTGAAACATATTTTATATTTGTTAATAACTATAAAATCGTAAGTGCGCAATGTTATATAGAATATTCAAGCATTATACACATATGCGGCGGAAAATCTTTGAAAAGCCGATTGCTGAAATAATTTATAGTCGATATTTTTTGTAATTATAGAAATATGTTTATAACAATACATTTTTATTTGTGGAAAATTTTAAATTGTAAGAATGCAAATAAATAACAAATTATACTTTTTAATTGATTTTAACTAAACTTTACTCTGAGAGTTTAAATTTATAGTTTACAATTAGTTGAAAAAATTGAGGTGTTAAAGATTGAAGTCGCAAAAAATAATGATCTCTTTTTCATTAAAAAAGTCGATTTCAAATTACTTTAAAAATCTGGAACAATATTTGGAACAATGTTTCGATACAATATTCATAAAATTTTGCGAAATTTAAAATTTTATTTGTATTTAATAAATTTTAATTTAAAAATTAATTTGTTAAATAAGTATTACAAAATGCAATTAATTGATTAATGTTAACTTTCCGCATTACGCAAAAATGAATGCAATAACGTCAAGGCATTACAGTATATTTTTTTGTATATTTCCTTTTATTCTACGTAAAATCAACTGACTGCAAATGTATAATTGGCAGCATATGTTGCAAAACAAGTTTAATAGAAGTCCATGTGACGCATGAAATAATGATGACATGTTAAACCACCCGGATAACCAATGTATCATTCCGCAATGGTGTCGTATAGCCTTTACGTAAATAATAGTCTCCTAAACAATTTATAAGAATAATCTGATTACATGCAACGTGATCAAAAAGCGTAAATGATTCATGTGTTACGGCCAGTGTTATCTTTTGCACCATAGAAAAAGTCATTGAAATAACAAACAATTGATTTTGTAGAATCACGTCATTAATAAGAGCGAAACATCCGGTACATTCAAGTTGTCCGTTGTGTCGGCTAACGGAAACGAAGTCGAAAATAGAGTAAGTTTAACAAGAAATGGTAAATAATGCAGATTAAAATTTTGTTCGCAAAAGTTTTCGAAATATAATAAAATTTTCTTTGCAGATTTCGGTGTCGATCAAGGAGAATAAAGAAAAGGAGAGAGCACAATGGGGGAGTGGGATAGAATTTCTCATGTCCTGCGTGGCGTTCTCTGTCGGTCTCGGGAACGTCTGGCGATTTCCGTATACAGCTTACCAGAACGGAGGTGGTGCTTTTCTCATCCCCTACGTAGTGGTGCTGTTCATCATCGGCAAGCCCTTTTATTATATGGAGATGATCCTCGGACAATTCACCAGCAGATCCTGCGTCCAGATCTGGTCCGTGTCACCTGCGTTCCAAGGTACTTGCACTCTGAAATCTTCTGCATTATTTTCTCCTATAAAAAAATTATTAAATCGTGTTACTAAAGTTAAGTAATTGTGTCTGAATAATTAAAAATCTAAATGACATATAAAATATACGAATACCCAGATTTATAAAAGTGGATTTTGATATCAGGTATCGGTTACGGCGTGGCGGTGTCAGTGTTTTCCGTGATCACTTATTATTGCGCCCTAATGGCCCTGACGCTTTATTATCTGGTCGCGAGTTGTCAGTCGGAACTTCCATGGGCTCATTGTTGGGAAGAATGGGGTGACGCGTGTTTCTCCAGCTCGTCGGCCGGCGGGCATGTGAAAAACGGAAGCAGAAGTTCCGCAGATTGGTATTTTAGGTACATTAATTTTTGTACAATGCAATCGGAACGTTTTTAGGATATCCTTTACGTCTATTTACACCTGCCATTTATCATTATACTCGTGTTTGCACACGTGCTGTGTGTTGCATGTTATAAATTATGTCGGAAGCCGCTCTCACTGGTATATCTAGTTATTGTTGGAATTTATTGCCTGACGTGGAATCTCGATCGAAATCTGTTCGTATCTCTCAGCGCATACGACATGATAATAACGTACATTAAATTGCATTTTGAGCGTTATCTTTCATCCATTGAGCTCGTTATCTGTATAATTCTATAGAATGTTCTTCAACATCATGAAGTTTCAAGTCTTGTATCTTTATAACTAAGTTTTAAATTAGAATTCTAAGTGCAACGAGCTGTTGTTTACCTGTTCTGAAGCTAAATTTACAAATGCTCTTTTTCTGCAATCGCTTATGGTTGCTAAGGAAAAAGTGACTACAGATTTATCAGAAAATCTCTCAAAATTAATATGTTGCAAATCTTGAATTATTCTTTATATTAGAATATACATACAAATCCTAAAGTCAGTATAAATAAAATTTTACCTAATAATAAATTGTTAAAAATTTTTAATTACTAGAACATGAATGGAATTAAACATTTCTAGCCGCTTATATGTTTAGAAAATTTGTCCTTAATGAAATGGGAATTGAGAATGGACTCGGGTTACCTTCGTGGCAGTTGGTCTTGGCGTTGCTGGTGAGCTGGATATTCGTCTACGTGGTAATCTGTAAGGGTGTGAAGAGCACCGGCAAAGCAGCCTATTTCCTAGCGATCTTCCCGTACGTTATTATGATCAGTCTTCTAATCAGAGCGGTAACATTGGACGGCGCAGTGGACGGCATCATCTTCCTCTTCAATCCTGTATGGCACAAGATCCTGGAGCCGGCGGTTTGGTACGCCGCCGTCACGCAATCGTTTTTCTCCCTCGGCGTGTGCTTCGGCGCGGTGACCATGTATTCGTCTTACAATAATTTCGATCACAATGTATCTAGGTGAGTGTACAGATTTCCGGATACAGACATTATCCTTTTAATAATAATAATACAACGCGCGCGTGCGCGCGCAAATCACAAAGATGTTATCAAATAAGTTATCGAAAATTCTTGATCAAATATGTTTTGATTATTTTGAAATAAAACGAAATATTCAGAAATCAAGATTCCTGTGTTTTTGCAGGGACTGTACGATAGTGACGACTTTGGATCTCTGCACTAGCTTGATGGCGGGCACGACGATCTTCGGGATCCTGGGCAATCTCGCTCATGAAATTGGCAGTGACGATATTAGCACCGTTGTTCGTGCCGGAACTGGTCTAGCTTTCGTCTCTTATCCGGAAGCTCTGGCGCGGTTTCAAGTGGTGCCGCAGCTTTTCGCCGCCCTGTTCTTTCTGATGCTGTTCATACTGGGTATAGGGACCACCGTTGCTTTTTGCAATGTGATCATTAGCATTATCAAGGACCAATTTCCGCAGCTCAAGCAATGGAAAATTGCTGGTGTTCTTTCGATCCTCGGGTTTTCCGTTGGCGTTGTATACTGCACGCCCGTAAGTTCGACATAATTATGTTTTTTTGTAAAAAATAAAAAATAATCAAAATAATAGAGATTAATAAAGCAAACAATATTAGTTAATAGTCTTTCTTTGAAAAAAAAGAATTTTCTTAAGACCAAAGCTCTTTGAAAGAAATAATAAAATTAAATAACAAATAACTAAGATAAAAAAATAATAAAGTTACTTTAAAAAACAATAAAACTCACAATAAGTATTAATATGTAATATTTTATCGCGCATAATATAGGGTGGTCAGTACATTCTCAACCTGGTGGACTATTTTGGTGGAACTTTCATTATTGTGTTTCTAGCTTGTTTCGAAGTGATTGGCATTTCCTGGATATACGGTAATGAATAAATAATATATTTCACTCTCACAAAGTTGCCGTGAAATTATTAAACTGATAATTTTTCCAGGTGTTGACAATTTTCTGGACGACATCGAGTTTATGGTAGGACGACGGCCGTTCTTTTATTGGAGATTTTGTTGGTGTTACTTGACTCCTATATTTCTGTTCACCATTTTAATTTATTTCCTTATCGATATAACGCCGCTTACGTACAACGATGAATACTATCCAACATCCGCATATGGTATTACTTTGCAAATTTTTACAATAACAAAAATTATCAAGTTATGCTTTTACAATTGTGAAAATAGTCATACAATCCAAACATAATAAACGAAATTAATTGTTTAAAGTTAATTAATATAAAAACCAAAAGTAGCTTAAAGTATATTAAAGTAAAAAGTTAATTTTAATTGTTAAAATTAAATTATAAAAATTAGAAATGTAATGATAATTAAGATATAATAATTTTATAAGATAATATTGTATTACATAAAACGTTTTTTTAATTTTTTGCAGTTGCAGGCTGGATAATTTTGGTGTTAGGAATTCTTCCGTTTCCTTTAGGCATGCTCATTCTTGGAGTTCGAAATAGAGACAAGTCGTGCTTGAATGTAATTCAGATTTGAATTTTATTTAAATATAGTTTTAACATAGTGCGTCGTAAATCTAAAATTACTGATCTATCGCTCTTCAATTTTAGACGACTAAGCCGAGCGCCGATTGGGGCCCAAAAGATCCTCAAAAGTACAAGGAATGGAAAGACTTCAAGCAATCAAAGAGGATATCCCGAGCGTGTATAAAAAAATCGAAGATTATAGCAGCCCTGTTTGGTAAAAATTGATATAATGTAATTATTATTAAAAAATATTAAAATCATATTACGTTTATGTTATTCGGTGGCAATGCGCTTAACAATATCGGCAGCTCTTTGTCGTGTGTCGTGTTGCACACAGTGCAACATTACACTCAAAAATGCATTTACAAGATAGCTAATGAAAGTTAAGCTTCAGGCACTCAATTGTTAACTCCTTAACTACGATATAACTAAATACGAGTGCGTAACTACGCGTGGAAATTATATATATTTTTTAATTTTTTTTTTATTTTCTTAATTTGACAATTTCATAAAATTTCATATAAAATATATAAAATAGTACAAACAAAGTTGTGGTAACTGGACTATTTTTTTCATATATTATTTGACTAAGTTAAATAATAAAAAGAATAAGGCTTTTCGGAAAGCTGCCCGCAATTAAGGAGTTAAGGAACTTCGCGGAATAATCCGTTTTCGCGATTCTGCCATGGATCCTGCCATGGCAAAAATAACTGCAAAAATTTGAATTCTAAAGCATTTCCGAGTTTGTACAGAATCGTGTGCTCTACTTTGGTTCCTTATTAAGAAGAATATAAAGTATTTGCTTCCAATATGGCTGCGTTCTTTTCTCCCTAGCTCTCGCTCTCTCCTCTTTTAAAGATCTTCCAATCTTTGTGCTGCTGCACTTCTCGTGGACCAAATCCGCTCGCGGGTGCGAAGGCTTTCTTCACCATCTTAAACAGCGTAATAACATAATTTAAGCATTCACTGTGATATAGTTTTTCACAATTCTTTGCATATTCAAACATATTATAACGAACAATTACGATTAAAAACTATTTTCATAAAGTTATTATAAGTTTGCATAAAACTTCTCTAAATTGTTTGCGATGCATTGAACAATATCGTTGCTATTAAAACTAAAACAAAATATTTAATGACAATATAAAATAAATTTAAACTGCAAAGAGATTTAATTTTTTTATTATGCCAATCAACATACCTGCGTGAACGGCAGCTGCCGATTCTTCAGCACCTTAATGAACATCCACAACGGTATCTGGAGAACACCTATGCAGAGTATCGTCCATCCGGCAGCGTGCGCAGATGATGGCAATGATATTCCACCATAAGTCAAAGGCGACAGAGTGGCCACCGTATAAATGAAGATCGTTATCAATAACAACGGCGTCACTATGAACCAACATATTCTCCAGTAGGCGCTCGACTTTCGATCCAACATAAATTCCACGTCTTCCAAAAAGTTCTCTAAGCCTGTCGCGAAAACAAATATCGCAACATTAATCACATTTGTACACACAGATGAATTATGATGCTTCCACATTTAAACGCGCAATATTAATTTTAATATAATTTTTATTATAATTAAATTTCAAATAAAAAATTCTTACCGTAAACCCATATTACTCCGGTCATTTCAAATGACGCAAGGATGAAAACGACGAATGAAGCACCATAATAATCCACTAAGGTCAAAATGAATTGACCGCCCTGTAAAGAAAATTTCTTTGATTATAATATAATTATTATTGTTTTTATCGTTAATAATTTTATTAATCTATATAATTTCATCACTCAAGTAAAATTATACATATAATTTTATTGTGTAAAATTATATTATTATTAAAATAATATATATCATTTTTTACACTTATATATAATATTATTAAAAATTGATTCTCTTTTATCGAACTTTAAACTAACCGGTGTTACGTAAACTGTGCCCAGTAAAAATCCCAGAGAACACACTGGAACCACGATTTGCCAAGTTTTCAGCTTTGGAAACTGTTCGCTTATCACAGTGATGATTCCCGTAGTCATCCCCACAGCACTACCGACGCCAAGCACGAACATCATCACAAAAAACAGAGCAGCAAATAACTATAACAAAATTGATCAGTTTATTTTTTTAAAAAATATTTGGCATGTTAATTAATAATATAAGCAATATAAATAATAAAATAAAAAATTAAATTAGTATTTCATTTTTAGGAGAAGATATTTGCGTAACGATTTTAATAGAAAAATTTATTTCCAAATTATCCATTCTGGTTTGTCATAAAAAATGTCTACACGAATTATGATTTCTAATAAGAATTTTACGGCAATAGCATTACAAAAAAAGTTTTAATTTAAATGGACATTATTTATTTTGATCAGACGTATCATATTATCGATACGATATTTTGTATGATTAAAATTCAGTGTTTAGCTAATATCCATTTCATTAGCATACATGCATTATTGATAGATTTTAACACTTGTATATATTAAAATATAATATAAAATATGACACATTTAATACAGCAATCTTAAATACTCGTTTTTTGAATAAAAATTTTGCATCATAAAGCTGTGATAGTTGATTAATTCGCATAATTTTTTTTTTTTAGAAATATACTAATTTAAGACACAGTTTAGGAAACGAGCTCTTCACATATTTATGAGACTAGATAATATACATAATAAAACCATATACCTGCGGCAGAAAGCTGAACTTTGCTATCGCATCAGGATAAGATATAAATGCCAGACCAGCGCCGCCTCTGACTACTTTAGATATATCTTCCACATCTAACTCGTACGCCAGATTGCCAAGGATCCCGAATATAGTGCAACCGGCCAATAAACTCGTCATTGTGTCCAATGAAGTGATTATCATTACGTCTCTAAATTTATACATAAATTTTTAGGATTTTATTCTAAATTTTTTTAAATGATTTAATTGTTTTCTTATTTTAGAAAATAGTTTATGTTATTTATAAAATTATTTGCATTTAATATACAAACTATGAATATTTGCTTGTATATGCCTGCCTCTCCTTTCTTTTTTTTTTTAATTTATTATTAAATTTTATAAATTTTTAAAACATTTGAGCAGTTTCACGCGCCACTATATTTATTTTTTCACCTGTAGATGTTGTGCTTGAAACCGTTGTGAGAGGAATACGTGATGATGCTACCGAAGCAAACCGAGAGCGAGAAGAAGCACTGTGTCACGGCGGCATACCAGACGGTTGGTTCCAGAAGTTTCGACCATTTCGGGGTGATAAAATAGAGAATTCCATCGGTCGCGCCGTCCAGAGTGACTGCGCGGATCAGCAGCGCAATCAGCACGACGTACGGAAAAATGGCCAGGAAATAAGAGAATCTCCCAGAGCTCTTTACACCTTGAAAAAGCACGATGCAAACCGCCGTCCAGCTGCCGAGAAGACAAAGCGTCAATTTCCAGTCTGGCCATCCGATTCCGTTGTCGATGTTTTCCTTTTCGTGCAAAACCACTCGTCTGCAAATCAGTTTTTATTGTTATTTACATTAAGAACAAATGCTTTCTATCGTTATACTGAGATGTACAGAATATTTCATAATGTGTAGCTCAGATTTTAACGAAAAATTTCCCAATTAATTTACTATCACTTTTTTCTCAACAAAAATATCAAGATTGTTATTTATTATAAATTTCTAATTTTATTACATATCTGCATATCTGTATTAAGTCTCCAAATTTCTGATTGAGATTATTTTCGATATAAAGTGTGTTTAATTGAAAAAACATCCTAGAGATTCATCATTCGAAAAATAAAATGAATACATATTTAAATACACAAAATGCAAAAAACAAAATAAAATTATCTACTTACGTAAAATATAACTCAGCCGAGCTTTGAAGCTTGCTGTTGCTGTTTAAAAAATTATCAAGAATGTCGGTGTTTCCTTCAGTCGCGTTAAGATTGTGGTTTTTCTTGGTACTGGAATCGATGCATGTGTCGCCCCATTCCTTGAGACAAGTAGCCCAAGGCAATTGAGCAGAAAAGGACGCGATTAAATAATAAAGCGTCAATGCCATTAGCGAGCTATAGTAGGTCGCTAATGCTACCGTCGAGGAGAACTGCGCCCATCCAACCCCTGTCGAAAAGTGTTAAACACATGCGTTAAAGTCACCACTGTTGACCGTCGTACGTCGCGCGATTTAGCGGAATAAAAAGAAAAATTTATATTAAAAATTTTATTAATTTTAATATTTCGATATATCTCTCGTAATATTAATTTGAATACTTTGAGGATTGTCAAGAAATTACCAACGAAGCCAGGCGACATGCTCCAAACTTTGACGGACGAGTTGCCGGAAAACTGTCCGATGATCATTTCCAAGAAGTAGAACGGTTTTCCTACCAGGAAGAGCAGAATCACGTACGGAATGAGGAAGGCACCGCCGCCGTTCTCGTACGCCGTAAACGGGAATCGCCAGATATTACCGAAACCGACAGACACGGCGATGCAAGACATGAGGAATTCCACACTATTATTCCACGTCGCGCGTTCCTTGCCCGATTCGACCACCTGTATGTCCAGGTCGGTCGTTGAGTCATTGACATAATACGTTCGCTTGCCATTTTTCACGATGTGAGGCTCATCTATTTGAAAGGCGACGTTATCGAGGCCTTGTTGCTTCTCGTCTCTCTGCAATTACAGATACTTTTGTTTTAACTTATATCTCTTTCAAGATATGGGAAAATTAAAATTTTTAACTTAGTTATGATATACACTGCAAACACATTATAGATCGGATCAACAAACTTGTGTTGTAACGGAATATATATTTGTAAACATCTTCTTCTACGTTTTCCACGAAATCTGTTAATAGCAGATAATTTAGCATTAAACAGAGCTTAAAATTAAAAATCTATTAAAATGCATTACGTTTGAAACTTGTTAATCTTGTCAATTACTTTTACTTTTTTTTTCGTGTTACTCGTCATCTAAAAACTGGTTTTTACGAGTTTGTAACTGATTATTACTTACAATTAGTAATTTACAAATTTATTTATAAAGAGCAAAAAAAGTTTTATCGTATTCAACTTTTTTTCTTAAATTGTTATTTAAAATAAAATATAACTTTTATTTGCTAAAATTTTTTGTCTTTATCATTTGTTTAGTTTTTAGAGCTTATTTAAAAAAATTTCAGCAAAGAATAAAATTCAAATATATTGAAATTAATGCACAGTAATATGATATAAATATGAATTTACGCAAATAAAATTCTCCTACTTAAACAACTTTTTCCTTATTAAATCGTTGATTTCTTTGAACATAAATATAAAAAATATATGAATTAAAAAAATATGCACAAGATATAATTAAAATACTTTTTAAAACATTCGCGATTTAAATGTCGCGTCTGATATTTAAGAAACAGTTAAGAAGAATCTAGGACCAATAAATCTCTCGGCTTCCTGATTTCTAGTGATTAATCTCGGTCACGATAAAGATTGCAACAGCATTCTGTGAAATACTCTTGCGAGAAGAACTTGACGTGGGATATGAAAGATATCGAACAATGAGTTTATCACTTATATCCTTGAACATAAATCCTTCGCGGATTACTCGGCAAATATCAAAGCTCGGAATTATACGTTGCACTTGTCTTAACGATTGTTAGCATTGCGTTTTTTTATCTCATTTTGAGGTTGCTTTTAAATTGTACAGGTGTGTCGCGGCTTCCTTCAACATCGACTCAATGCTGCAAGACTGCGATGCATACATATATTTAGGGTAACTTTCACTTATCGCGTCATCTGAGTCGCGAACACGTGACGATAGGAAAGAAACGAAAGGTGACTCGACGGCAGCAAAGGAGAGATTCAGGATAAAAGAAGTCAACAAGATTTTACCGTGACTGTGCGATCTCACATTCACTCTGAGCGAATAACTATCGTTCGCGCGACGACTGTAATCAGTCGGTGATAATTATACCGCTAAGATTAAATACTGCATCCGCACATCGTAACGCATCGCACACTTTACACTCAATATCTCGTATTCCATTCAAACACGTCGCATTTTAATTAATCACATGGCATTCGATTGAGCAGATCAATTGAGCAATCAATTGTTCGCTCGGCGGACAATTTATCGTTTGATGTTTCAATTAATCGTTCACTTACTGTCTCGTACATAGCGAACGATAGTCACGATAGCTGAATCGAAAAACAATCTTGAGCGCAGGGATCCAGATGCAATCGTCAACACCAGGATCCGAAGGGATGCCTCGTACGTCTATGCTACCGACGAGGACTGATCACCGGACCAGCCGTCGAGGTGTTTTCTCCCACGCGAATTCCTCGGTAGCACATTGATAAAACGATAACCATCGCTATATATCCCCGACGATGGCAGGTGACAGAATACTGCGCGCCACAAGCGGGAAACGCGACATGCCAATCGAGAGCTTAGGAAAATTGTGGTCTAGGTAGCTTAGGTAGGAGCGATGATGAATCATGCATCACGTAAAGAAGTAATTATGCGAACTGCGGGCCGTTATACTATCCAGAAGCAACTAGACGGGAGACAGGTAGACGCGCATAAAGTTACATTCTATCTAACGGAAAAAGACTGAGCAATGGGAGGAAGGGGAAAAGAACTCTCCCCTCAAAAGGGAAGGAGGCAGGGATACCGTCCGGCTATCCGGTGGGAAAAAATCAATCTGTCAAGAAAACTAGCTGCAGCCAGATGAAAAGTGGGAAAAGTCGGAATTCCCGATTGATCGGCCGCTGCCTGTGAAGTAACATGGAGAAACTTAGGAAGGGATATGAGAGCTCTGATACTGTGAACGCACATTACTCTTTTGGTGTTTTTTATACTTCTCAATAACTCTGCGTCACAGTTACATGACATCATACTACGTCATATTGAAGAAAACGAGAAGCTAATGGATCTGCAGCACTGATTCACTTTGATCATATATTTGCAAAATTAAATGGTATTTATATAATTAAGTTTTGGCATAAATAAAAAATTCAGAGAATTTATTAATCTAGAAATAAGAAATTTTAATAAATCTGTTATATAGATAAATATATGAAAAAGTCGAATTATATTATAATTTTCTTCTGCAATTTTTAATTTCTCAATTCTATTTTTACGTTTGACAAATGACAGTTTTTTTCAATATTCTATTATCACAATGTGTGATTTACAGCTTACAATAATTATTAAATGACGCAGTTACACACGTGCTATTTTCTATGAAACTTAGAAGCGGCGAAAGCAAGCGCGCTCGGTTGAGCAGCAAGGACGACTGGATTTGTAATTTACGCGAAACATGACATACACGCTGAGTGCTATCAACATACGTAACATCACAACATCATAATGATATATCAAAACGCGATATTAAATTTCAGTGATTGTAAACTCAATGACGCTTGCAAAATCTACTACATGTCACTTCGTGTCGATTTGCCAATTGAAACATTTGCGTCATCGTTTCTTAAATGTTGCATAGAACAGACCTTGGAGTGAGCTGCTGCAATCTACATTCTTATTTGTTTCTCTCTTCCGGTGACTTTGCGGTCGTTATGGAATGCCAACCATTTTTTACGATCTTCTGCTTTGCTCGGACCCCAGGATTTTAATGGCTGAAAGGCTTGCTTTATCATCTAAAAAAATATATTTTATATATAGATAATATTTTAATAGATATTTCACTCACGACACGATTGATTTACTTGCTTCTCGAAAGGAAAGATGTCTCTTCTTAAATATTGCTACAGCCATCCACAAAGGTATTTGCACAACAGCAATGGAAAAGAGGATCCAACCTATGACTGTTAGTAGAAAAAACGTCTAGAATAAAAGAAACTCGTAAAATCATTATTATTATGATTTATTATACCGCTAATAATCCTTTCTGAGTAACGAAAAAAAATCATGAAGTATATAAAACATCTTATTAATAGAAGACCTCTTAGCGACTCAATTATTTTTCCTCCATAAATGTATTCGAATAGATTTTGCTTCCATAGAAATCGAATTTAAAACTTCATAATAAAGAGATAAGTGATATAAAACACTGGAAATAGCAAAAAGTGATGATCTCCTTCGACTTTGTATTCACAAAGAAAAAACGTGTAATATAGATAACATCACTATCAGAAGAGATATACAAGATAATACAAAATTTTCTGAAAGGAATAATGATAACAAATCTCTGTCGCAAAAGAAAAGGATCAGAGATTTTTCTATAAGCATTGCAATCTTATTAATTAATTTTAATAACTCACCATACGCTGCATTTGGGTAGAAAATATTGTTGTATTTTAACGGTTCGAGATTGATTAATGAATACAAGAAGATTATAAAAATAATCGCAGGAGTAACGATGCCCCAGCAGAGTCTCCAAAATATCGACAGCCGTCTCCCCAGCATGAATTCGATATCGATTAAAAAGTTACTCAATCCTGAAATTTAATCGTCTCTTCTTGTCACCTGATAATTTGTCGCGATATATAGAATGACGCAGTAATAATTAATTAAACGAACCGTACGACCAAGCGATGGCAATCACCTCGAAAGTGGCCGGTAGGAAAGCGATGAATGAGGTCACGTAATAATCGACGAAGGTTATCATAAATTGACCGCCCTGTAAAGCAGTTCGTTTAATTAAGATAACGAGCTTGCTGTAAAAACGATCGTAAATCACGTTTAATTAGGCGTACCGGCGTGACATATATGAGACCGATCAAGAATTCGCAGAAACAGGTGCTGGCTGCCACATGCCAGTATTTAACCTTCGGCAAGCAATCGTGCACGATAACGATTATAGCAGAAACGATACCGACCCCGCTGCCGATCCCCAGGACAAGCAACATCGCAAAAAACACGATGGCGAAAAATTGCGGCACGATGATGAACCTGGCGATCGTCTCCGGGTAAGAGATAAACGCCAAGCCGATGCCGCCCCGGACCACCGATCCGACACTCTCGGCGCCCAATTCGTAGCTGAGATTGCCCAGGATGGCGAAGATCGTGCAGCCCGCCAACAGGCTGGTGAAGGTATCCAGCGTCGTCACGATCATCGCGTCTCTGATAAAAAAAGATACAAAAGTTAGTAAAAAAAATTTTTTTAAAGCAACAATTCATTGTAAAACGCTAAAGAAATTGCTTAGAATTAAGAAGAAATACAAATTTTATAAATGAGTAAGCATTAAGCGCAACTCATTATTCATGTTAAAATCCATTAAATGTAAATAGGAATAAGAGAGACTGTACGAACGACCGAACTACAAATATTTGCAAATTACAACGTGAATGACGCGTGCTTTTACTAACCGATACACATTATGATGGAACCTGTTGTGGGAAGCGAACATGACGATGCCGCCGAAGCAGACGGTCAAGGAGAAGAAGCATTGTGCGACAGCGTGGTACCAGATCGTCGGCGTCAGCAGTTTTTCCCACGTCGGCGTGATGAAGTACAGGATACCGGCAACGGAACCGTCCAGTCTGACCGTATGTATGAAAAGCACGATGAGGACCACGTAGGGAAATATCGCCAGGAAGTAGGATGCCTTGCCGGTGCTCCGTACACCTCGTATTATCACGAGGAAGATGATCAGCCAGCTGACGAAGAGCGCGATCGACAGACGCCAATCTGGTGCGCCGATGCCGTCGTCGATATTATTCTTCTCTCGCAGTACTTCCTTGCTACACGTGATTGCCTTCGGTTATCTCTTCTGTTGCTCTCGTTTATTTCCTTATCAGATATAGATGTAAATAGCGAATGCGGGCGAAAGCGGCTAGATTAATTTACTAGAAGTATAGCTCGGCGGAGCTGACGTAGGTGACGTTCTTCTCGATCTTGACACTGCTGTTTCCGGGCAATGCGTCTACGCAGAAGTTGCCCCATTCCGGTCGACACCGGTTCCATGGTAATTCTGTCTGGAAACTCACGACAAGGTAGAACAACGCTAACGCCGTTAGCGAGCAATAATAGGATCCCAGTACCAGCAGTATTATGAATTGTGCGATGCCGATGCCTGCGATTAATTGTATTTTTGCACTTCAAAGTGTATCTTATCAATTTTCACACAGAGTACCCCACAAGTGCTATAATTTTTTATTTTTACAAGAAATTTTCCAATAAATCTGGAGAGTCAATTTTTTATCTCAGTAAAAATGTTGAAACAGCAGTTTTCGAGTTATAAGCAATTAATGAAATAAAAAAAATTCTTTAGCAACGCAAATAAATGATTAAATCATACTCCTCACTTAATCTCAAATAAATTTCAATAAATCGACTAATTTGAATAGAATTTTAATTTAAAAATTAATTACAAAGAAATGCGATGTCAAGAATCGGAAGATTGCAATAATAAATTCGTTGAAGAGAAATCGACTCTGGCCAAAAAATTTATCATTACGATAAATAAGATTACGAGTTGTAGAGCACTTTGATACACTGATATTTTTTTGTAAATAAAATATATAATTAAATTTAAAAAATTACTTATAAAAATTATGAGAATCGGGTATAAATGTCGAACGCAGACGCCGTACCTCTGAACGCCGGTGCAATGTCCCAAACTTTCACGGCCGAGCGGTTGGAAAACTGACCTAGGATCATCTCCAGCAAGTAAAGGGGCTTTCCTACGATGAGTAGAACGATGATGTACGGTATCAGGAAAGCACCTCCACCGTTCTCGTAAGCCGTGAAGGGAAATCGCCAGACATTACCAAGGCCAATCGACATAGCGATGCAGGTCAACAGGAATTCTCGATCGTTTCCCCATTGCTGTCGTTCTGGCTTCGTCATAAAAAAAAAAACATACAATAAATACAATTAAAATACATGCTCCCGTCTTCTTTTGGGAAACTTTTTATTCTTTTAATTAATTGAAGAAAAACTTTATTCAAGTATGCACATTAAGACAGCAGGTACATTTTGATTGAGATATTCTGCAGCGATATTCTTCTTTGCGTATACATAAAAAATGTTTCCAAAGATGGATTATATAATTTTTTTTATTTATTATATTGTTTAAAAATACAAAATAAAAATTATACCTTATTTCTATTTGTCTAAAGTTATTTGTTTAAAATTTTCACCAATGTTTTAATGAAATTGCGTTTACAGATTCTTTAATTTTTGTATAAAAAATAATTACCATGTTAGTTTCATCATTAGATCCCTTATCGATGTTATTCCGATTCACCGTCTCGTCAGTGACGAAGGCAGGATTTATCATGCCGCTTGAGACTGTGTACAACTTCACAAACAATTGTATAACAATAATTAGTCTATTTACAACTATATTACTTTATTAAAATTAATTAAAAAATAAAAATGTAAGACTAAAAAAACTTTACGAACAATTTACAAGTATTGTTTAATTCGGAACGTTGTAAACGTCGCACATAAGTAGTCAATTAATTAAACGACGAAAAATGATTAAATTATAAATTTTTATTAATTTAATATATTGATGGAAATAAACTGTATTGTGCGATCACAACATAATTTATTCTAATTTCGAAAATCGGCGTGATCTTGGACATTTTACAAGCGGATGTTGTAATCGTCGCAATTACTTCACTATTACGATATGATACACTAATAAAAAACAAATCAGTGAATAATATTTATTCTATAAAAATCACTACATAACATTTTAGTTAATTTATCTTTAAATTGTCACTTTCTTACCTTTCGTCCCATTTTATTGCCGGTTTCACAACGATCTGTTTCTCCTCCAAATGCTTGATGTTCACGTAGTTATCTATTCTCGCTCTATATTTTCCAAGATTAATTTGTAGATTGCTTAATTTGTCTACTTATCTTCTTCATTTGTGTAAGTAAAACACTAAGAGATAGAGATAAAAAAATATACTCTATAAGAATATGTCACTCAATGTTATCTGTTCGAATGGTCTGACTCTATGACAATGCACTTGTAGACTCCGCACGTAAATAAGCGCTAATTCGAGTTTCGGAATGCACGTTTACCGGCATGACTAATCAGGGAACATGCCTAATCTCTCTGCAAGTTTATAAAATCATGAAGATTTAGAATGGCAATAACGATTCGAGGAAAAATCATAAAGTAATTGATTGTAATAACAAGGCAATTAACTTCGAAATTAAACTTCGAAAATTATCTACAATGTTTGTTATAATGTTTTGTATATTACTTTTCAGATATCAGTAATTAATATTTAAAAACTTCATGTATTATGTAAACCGAGATCTACAATAGTGTACATATATACAGTTATTAAAATAATAGTATTAATAATTAGAAATAAACTATCGCTATAACTTTATACTCATTTGTTAAAACATTATTAGTAAAATCAATTAATCGTATTGTCTATTTTAGCTTATGTATAATTTAAGGCAGACTTCAAGATAAAACGTTATTTCTAATTTCATATAGCAAAAAACGTAAAAAAAGGAATACACACATACAAAATATATACTATTAACATATAGTTTTACATATATGCATTTTTTTAATATTTTTTATATTACAATACATAATATAAATAAAATCTTATTGTAAATTTTATCGAATCATAAATGATTTAAAGTCGGTTGAATGTAATAAGATATTTGTCTCACTTGTAGCCTGAAATATGTAGGAAGTATCACTTAACAGATCTGCCAAGAAATTAAAGAGAAAGACCGACTCTATCATAAAATATATAGGTGCTGTACACTTGTCATTAAGATAACACGCAAATATTTGAAAATATGTCAATATTACAGTCACGACGAGGATAATTGCGGGATTATGCAATCAAGAAACAAAAAACGTAGAATTAAGTGTAATAAGAATAAGTGTTGAATAAATATGTATCTCGAATAATTAAAAAAAGATTCTAGAAGTCTTCAAATGTCTGTTATACTACATCTCGTTGCATGTAAAATAAGTTCTCATACTCAAAATTCTGTAATAGAAACCTATATATCTTTTTACGTTTTTTCTTGCTTACGGTAAAATTGAAAACGATAGATATGTAATTACGATCAAAATTTACACTCCTTGAATGGTGCTGTCATCTCGAGCACTGAAGAAGTATTATTAAAGACAGACAACTCTGTAAAATTTCGTGACCATCAATGGTACTTCATTAATCTGGATCGATAAATAAATTTTTTATGTTACCTATTGATAATATTGATGATCGAGAAAGTGTTATGCATTATTAGCACGACGTGCGCTAATTTCAAATGTTGTTGCGCACAATGCTTAATAACACAAGTGAACATAACGAACTTTCTGCTCTGTTCGTAAATCACGTAAATCATCGATGCGAGTTGCCGTGATTGTTGCAAATAATTGATTCTGATTGTCAATTTTTACGTGTCTTCGGGAGAACATGGCTACGTTAGTAAATTTGTATAGTGTATTGTACAAATGTTTAGTCAACTGTCGATCCTCCAGTGTTTTGTTACGTTATCGGTTCCTTCTTGGTAGGTTTATCCGTCAGTTATTTATTAATAAATATCAGTAATCCTTACTCAATAGTTGGAATACCAAGTAAAATTACATCTTGATAATAACGATAAAGGTAATTTTACTTGGTATTCCAACCACTGAGTAAAGATTACTAATATTTATTAATAAATAACTGACGGATAAACCTACCAAGAAGTTGGAACAACCAGCCCTATATGTTTTTGTATCCCATATTTTTACAACGTACTTTCTCGCTTGCAGTTTGGATGATTCGAGTGATTTTCCAAATACAGAACTAATAGATCCGGAAGATGATCAAGCGATTTCGAAATTGGTACGATATTTACAAAAACATATTCAGAAAAGGCACTTGCTGCGAGAGGAGGGTAATCAGAAACGTACGGATAATCTGGCATTTCAAGTAATATTTGCTATTGTACATACATCTTAAAATTAACACGACATCATTCTTTTTCAGAGATTAATTTTAGAAATACGTTGGTACAACTGGTACGCGAATATGAGTCATTAAAACATTGCAACAATGAACAGAAATTAATAGTAAGATTATTGATATTATATGCTTTTGTGTTATGATGGCATATATTTTCTTAATACATGCATCGAGATTGATATGGAAAATTTCTCAGATCTCTACGTTGGAGGGCCGAGTCTGTAAGTTGCAAAATCAAATCGATGGCTTGTTATGTAAATTGAACAGTGCATGTGAAGCTATGAGGAGTATGCAACAGGAAGTAAACATCTTTATAGAATGCAATGTTGTATCCTGTTATTTATATATTATTAACATAATTTCTGTACAGGTAAGAAATAGGGATAAGCAGCTAAAAGAACAAGAAATAGAGAGACAAAGAATAATACAGAAATACAATGCTAGGATAGAAGCTGAAGCTAATAGAATAACCAAAGAAATGGAAATAAAGTTACGCAAACAGCAAGAATGGTTTGAAGTATGCTTTGGTCATCAATTATAAATATTTCTTAAAATAAAAATCAATCATTGATTATTCTTTATAAAACTAATGTTATCTTTACTGCATTGTTTTTGTGTAGAGTTGCATTAAAAAGAAAGATGACAAATTGAAATTGGTGGGAAGTATATTGTCATCCGTTCACGATAATGCGTCCGATAATGTATTAAAGGCACCAACAGCTTCGGGAACAGAGTCTGTGGAAGAATCGATATCCAACAAAATATCTTCCATTACGTCTGCCGAGTCTCAAGTTTCCAAGAGTCTTCATTGCGAAGTCCGCCAGAATATGTTTTTACGTGCAAGAATCAATGGCGCCAAAGAAAGAACCGTAGAGAAACCAATCCCGATGATATCGAAAAAATCTTCACGTCCGAAAACAGAGGTCGTACAGGAATCACTTCCAACGACGTCGATCGATCCGTCTCCGTCTACGATTGCATCGACCGATAATGTAGCTGATACGAAAACTAAGTTGGATACAAAAATGACGAAAAGGGTAGCGTATTTACATGTAGAAATCAAGAGGAGGCCGAGTAGAAGAGTAATTTATATTCCTCCATAATGTTGTATCTCTATATCCGCATATAGACCAAGCTAATCTGTATGTATGTACTGTTGCAGTGTAAAATTCCTGTAGTGAATCCGAGATATCGAGCGAAAAGCGGAGATAAATGGATAGATCATCGGCCCGCCGGGATAGTTCCAATCGGTACGATCATGCAGCCACAAACGCAGCCTCATAAACAAACCGTTCAAAAGTTGACGAATCCGAAGACCTTCAGGAAGAAATCTGCCAAGTATTGTCTGTTTGCACAAGAACAAGATACAGATGGTGAACTTGAGACCAAATTGTACAAGGTGAGTCCCGCTACAGCGTTATTTTAGATACATTTTAAGGACAGTATATATATTGTCATTCTTGTAGGCTGATGTATTGCCTACATGCGGAGGTGGAGCGCAGATTGTATTTAATGACATAGAATATTAAAACAATATCTCCGAGCACAGCGAAATGACATAATGGACAGATAAATCAGGAAAGATTTCAGTATATACATAAGTATTTTATGTATACATTATCAAAAACCTACTTAAGTTGTAAAACATAATTCATGAGACGATCGCAGAATTTATTTTATTCGTCGTTTGTTTATCATTTATTTAACAGATATACTTCAGAGAAAGAGAGTATTATTTTCACTTCTCGTTTGGATACTTTGGAATTCCCACAGCCAACGTCGCATTATAGATTGAGAATAGAAGACTAAATTTTTTTTTTACAAATCGCAATTGTATTTTCTTTTTAAATTGTAGAACGATGTGTTTGCCACTTCTCGAATCCAAAGTATCCATACATCGTTATGTAAAGTTGCAAAACAAACTCTGTACACTTCCCGAAATCGTGAACATAAAATAGAAACAAGACTGCGACATTATCTTGTGTAATAAAAGCTGCAAACACTTTGCGTACCGATGAATCTCAATTTATTTGAATGTGAACAAAGATCTGTCGTTACCACACACAAGGATGCATGCTAATGGATGGATGTAATTCTTCATTTACTAGAACGCTGTTTGCTTCTAAAAGGTTTCGCTTGCCGAAATGAGTTTTAACAAGTGTTATCATAACATGACTGGTAATCGCACAAAAGTCTCAATCATATTTCCGAAATTTAACATTTCATACCCTGCACAAGTCTACAGTGAACTTCCCTTCTCCTTTCGTCTAATCACACCGCTAATTTCGGCGCGACAACCAAGTAGTGGTAAAATATATAAAATTATATCAAGTATCAAGACTAGATGAATATATTAATTATTAGAGTAATTATCCGTTACGATCGGCTCTAACAAATTATACATATATATATATATAAAAAGTGTATTATTAGATTATTTAAAGATATTGTCTTACGCAACGGTGCAACATTCTCCTTCCTCATCGTACAGCGCAAATCGCTCAACAGTTTCGTCCAACGCATCACCAAACGTTTTTCGCTAAATTATAAATTCACAAACAATCATAAAGTAAAATTTGAGACTCGATCGACGCGATATCTTCGACAAAATCGATATTGTTGTGCAGAGGTTTGCAGTGCCTATTGTGTTTTTTGTTTTTTTTGAAAGAACGGTGCATCTCTTTCTGAATATCCTTCGGCGCGAAATAAAAATTGTGATAGTAAATTACTCGGACGAGTATCAAAGAGATATGTATCGTGCATAATACCGTTCAACGAATCGTATCGTTTCCTATGGACATATTTCGCGAAGTAATTGAACTGTTTATGTTCAAAGCGGCGCATCGATTTGCGACAATTGAAACTGAGCCAGACCAAGTCTACAGAGCATAGGAGATATCTATTCGTGACGATTTGTGTATGCACATCGTGTGTGTATATATTACAACATATACACCGCCTCAGCGTTATAAAGTGTATCGCTTTCGTATACCCTTATCGATTATAGCTTCAGCGAAACAACGGACACTTGTAGCTTCCTCACAGCTACTGAAATTACATCTTATAACGAGAAACGATTAGGCGAACCCGGGCAGTTCTATACTTGGCAAGCGCCACAGTGCCTAATCGAGATTTATTGCAACGGTAACATCAAGTTAGATATCTTTCTGTAACATATAGCATGACTCATGCTCGTTTAGCCAGTCTGCCAAAAAACGAGTTGCTGTTAATATACTTTCGCGAAACATTACTGCTACTGATATCGATAGATAAGCATTTGTGCGACTTGGAACTTTTTTTAATCTTAAACCACAGATAATATTGCCTGTTCAATTCGTGTGTATGTTCAGTGCAATTAATTTTCAGAATATCGTCGCATATATCTGTTCTCCGAAAAACACGATGTGAAAAAAACGACGGACAGTGTTTTTTTTTTTTTTTTTTTTTTTCGTGAAAATTCTTAACGCGACGGCGATCGTGTATGAGTAATGCCAAGCGCAACAAATTTATTGAACGATTCATTTATTCGACGTGGAAAAGTTTTAAGCGAAAAATTCGGGGAAACCGATTACGCGGTGACTTCCTCGCGACTGTTACGAAGACTGAACGTAGCAAAGTAAAACGGCAAATAATGATCAATCGAGGTTAAAAACAATCTCACCGGTCGTAAAATTCAATAAACAATTCCGATAAAAAATTATCGAGGAACGGCGTTTCGCTTAAGGACGCTCGCGAAATAAGCGACTTACTTACGCGCTTCTACTTGATCACATGCGAATCGCGAATGAAAGCACTATTAAGATGATCAGTGTCGAGAAATTAAACCGAACGGAGAGACTGCGACGATCAATCTCCGCGGTTCTTTCGTGCGGTGAACTCGATTTCACTCCGACAGTACACATAAGCGGTAATATCGTCAGTAATTTCATCATCTTATACGCACAATTAATAATACCCTTTACTCTATGGCTTTGCTCATGAACTCTATGAATCGTTTGCCGTATTGTTCCGGATCACAGGTGGATATACCGTCGACGTTGGCGCCGTACTTGACGGTTTTGGCCGCTTTCGCCGCCTGCTTGCGCACGCCGTAGTGCGTCAGCACGTCTATTATGGCCAAAAAATAGATCTCCTTCGTGGGAGCACCTGGAAAAGTGTGCGAGTTAAGCATTGTTCCATTTATGTTCGACAAAGATACAGTTTTTGTCTGCGGGAAAGAAAAGAAAGAGTACCTTCTTTACTAGGAATAGCATAAATATCTAGTTCGGGTATTATCGCGTCTTCATATTGTAGACTGGTATCACGTACTAACGCGGCGTGCGGCGACTCGGGAGGCGTCGCCATACTGGCAACCGCGTGGCCAACGCCGCCCCAACCCCACATGCGGCTGCAGGCAGACAAGTGCATCGATGAATAAAAAAGATCAATCGGTTTCCTTCTTCTAACAAGAAGGGGACTTATGGAAGGAATTCCCTTACTCCGCCATTGGACCTCGAGACTCCAATCCGCTGCCGGATTCACTGTCGTCCTCCTCATCGTGATTATCCTCGTCGTCCTCCCTTTCCGCGCGCTCTCGACTCTCCTGTTCAGCACGCGCGCAATCGTGCAAGCCGAGCAGCAAGGAGTAATCCATCAGGTGTAATCTTGTCAAGAACTGTGCAGATAAAGAGATTATTTCGAGTGCTTCGATCGCAAATCATTTCTTCGCGAATCTATAGCCAATCTTTATCTGGATCGATAGCTCTTAAGATAGCTTCAAGCACTGAAATTGAAAGTCACACTTGTGTACAGCACACTCACGTCTACGTCGGCGGTTAATGTTTCTATTAGTTTAGCTTTGGCCTCCTCCCCGATGTAAATTTTCGTTCCTTCTTTAACGAAATCGTTATCCTTGTAGGTAGGAAGATCCTTCTCTTTCTCCTTGTCCGACGCCTCTCGGTCCACCGTCGAGCCTTTCAGGTCGAACTTCTTGTGTGTCGTTAAATGGTTGGAGAACACATTTCTTATGGCGACCACGTAATGCTCGACGCCGTCAACGGTCAGCCGGTACATTCCCAAGTACTGCGGCAATAGTGTCTTTCCGTGTCGCTCGACAATATACTGCAAAGCGATATATTCGTATAATTTGTCTTGTAATAAATTTTTCCAAGTATTCTCTTAATCACACTTACGGGATGGTAATGCTTCAAGAACGCGTGCATTCTCTCCACTTCCTCACTCGTAAGAGTTTTAATTATGAACAGCTTGTCGTAGGATTGGTAAAACTTGGCGCCACTCTTTCCGGACGAATCGTCGAGCACTGGCTGAGATCTGTAAGAAGATAAGGAATGCATAAATTGTGTTGTGCACACACGGGAGAATCAAACAACGATTTAACTCGTGTATGACTGCTGGCATAAGTCTGTATGGTAGCATGATCTTGGCAAATACAAATGATGAATCACTATCAAGAGAGGAATATTAGATAATCGGTGGGTATTTCAATGTAGTTGAATAAATACTAGCATGTGAAACAATTCGATTTATATCGGTTTTCACAATTAATTATATCAATAGAAGGATGTCAATTAACAATTTGTGTGCGCAAATCTCATTAAATTATTATTTTCATTGCCTTTAATGATCTTACTACTATTACGATCAGTACAATGATCATTATCATTATCGTCGTCGTCAATGCCGTCGATGTCAAGCATTTGACTTGTTAATTACCTTGTTACATCATTAAGCGATATTTTAATAACGATGATGTCAACTGAAAACATTCTCGCCATGCTTGAAATCGGTAAAGCTCTTTAGTGGTAGCTTCCACTTGAAATGTTTTCAACTATCCTGTCTAAATTAAGCATTCATTAGAATATTGATGATTATGCTTAGTCACACTGATTCTTCTTCCTCGGGAAAGGTTTTTAAACTGTGTTAGAAAACGAAAGATGAGGATACGAAAACGCACAGCATGACAAAATCAAGTCTTGCTAACCTCAGGCGTTTCGGTTTAAAACTGTAGGTGCGTAGCGATTTGTTTAGAATCGAATTGTGTGAGGAGGCGGAAGGAGAGGAGGAGAGAGTGATCGACGGAGAGGTAGCGGAGCGCTGAACCAACTGACGAGTCCTCACGCCTACTCCTTCGACCAAATCCGAACGCTGCTTTGCTCGCGAGGGATTAAACACCCGACATCTATCACAAAATCCTTGCATTACAAAGCGTTTCACAGTCACAATCCGGTCATCCCTAATCCACTTGCGATGATACATAACATCGAGCGTGAAAGAAAACTAGCCCTTAACTTTGCCAAAAGTGACACAGTGCCGCAATATCATACTATATACATCTAAATCTAAATAAAATGATCAGTATATTCTGTATTATTACCTTGTCATCGATTCCTTGTAATCCAGATCGTCTATTCCAAACCTCTCTCGCAAATTTCTAAACACTAACGGGCAATATTCTTTGATTTTGAAGTGGGAGGGCATGTTCTCTCTGCAAAGGATAAATTGTGTAAATTAGAAATGCGTCGCATTTTCACTTCATTAACATAGATACATCTAGAATTAAGAGCAGCTGCCAACTTATTGGCTTGGTGCATCATATGTATATATATATAGTAGACAATATATTTGCCTAAATATATTTCCGAGATTGTCTCATTACACGTGTACAATTTCGTGAGTATATTTAGAAAACAGCACGAATGTATACATTCACAAAATATGGTCCAAGATCTACCGCAAACGGAAAATTTATTAAGGATAGATTTGTGAAGTAATTTGATTTTTCTTTTTACAAAATTGTGTTGCAAGGAACAGTAGTTTCTTTAAATTCTACAGAAGTGAAATCTATTTCAAAATAATGCAACGTTATTATTTTATTTAAACAATAGTTTTGTTATCGAATACTTTTGTTATCTGCTTGCATAGTTTATGAAATGAGTTTGCATAGTTTTTGTCAACTAATAATTACTCAATCTACAAATGCCTAGGTGCTTCTGTTGAAGAAAAAAACAAATTCCAGATTACTTGAGAAATTTATTCTTAATAGACTTGTCTACTTGTGGCGAAACATCCTAAATGGAGATAAATAAATTGAATCAATATTACATAAATGATCGTGTGATAAATACAACAATAAGACTTACTTGTTGAAGAGATGATTATCCACTTTCAATTTGCTGTAAGCTCTAAAATCATCTGGCAAGAGCATTACCGGAATGTTAACGTGACTAAGTTCATTTATCTGCAATGCAGCAAACATAAGATAAGGCATAGATTTATCTTACTGTCAAGAGGTTGAGCTTAATTAATTAGTTCAGAGGTCAAGTTCACATATAACCGAGCCATTGTTGAATAAGACGACGGGAAAAATACGGATTGATAAGTATGAAAATGTAATACACATACCTTGCCAACCATCTACGCGTACATATATGCACTTACGCACACATATATATGTGTGTATATCAAAATTGTGAACTAAATTAGATGGTGGACGCGTGATTATAAGTCATTTTTTAATTTGGACGAATTACGCGCGCGAAACGTATCTAATTCGAGCGTTATCTGAAGGAACGATGACGTAATGATTCGCTTGCGGAATAAATACTCGCGGAAAATAATGGAAAAAAAAAGAAAAATAAAATGATGATGTATGACAAGCCATACGTTGTCATTCGCGTAATTGCTGCGCGCGCGAGTCAAAACGCGACCACGGGGGAGAAAGAGAGATTATGCACTTACTGTATGATTAACACCCCACATAAACACGCTGAGCAGTGGCTCGTTCGCGCGGAACAGCTTAACCTTCTGATGCTTCACCCGAAAGTGTTTCTTCTTCAGCTTGCTGAGCCCGCTGGACATCAGCGGTACGCTCGACATCCTTGCTGCTTGCTCCGCGCGACTGTCACACGGCGAGGAGAAAGAGAAGAGTGTGTCACGCAGTCGTGATAACTCGTCGCGTTCGCCGAGGCTCCTCCTCGGAGACTCCTCGATTCCCCGGAGACTCTCACCCTCGACTTACACGCGGAATGTAACACAGAAAACTCTCTCTTCTGCTTCTCTTTCGCCCTCCTCGTCGGACTTACATCCTCGTAATACGTCGTCTACGCGGGACGGATCGCGCGCGCGAAATACTGCGTGTCGCGCAACGCGCGCGCGAAAGGCACCGGAGGGGGCGAGAAATCGCACCCGATGACACCTTCCTCTACGTACCGACGGCAGAGCGGAACACGCCCATGAACCACGTACCACCCATGCACCGAATTCTCGCACACCTCGCCAACCCAGCACGAAGACGACGAATCACTGAAATCACAACGAACGAACGTCGTTTGCACCTACCACCACCACCACCACCACCACTGCTCGCGCTACCTCGCCGCGCACTTTATCCCCTCGTTCCCCTTATATCCCCCAGCAACACATCCAGGATTTCGTCTCAATGGCGTAGTTGCAGCGGACAGCGGCTGATCGCGCAGCTCCTTTTAAAAATGGCGAACACAAGCGCGGCGAACGATGTACACAATAGGACTGATTCGAGGTCGTCGTAACGCGTTTCGACGCGTTGTCGACGCACGACGCGTCACGAGTCACAGTCCCACGATATCCCACCTGTTTCCAGAAGATCATGCGAAAATAATTATCATTAATTTATCGTCACGCGAGGACCCGTGTTTCTCGCCCGTTCCTCGCGATTTGAGGTTAAGCGCTAATTTTACCGCGCTGAGTGCGCATTCGAACTGTGTCGACCGGTGTTCAACGAGCTTATGGCGCACTTACATCGCATTCGATGTAAGTGCGTCCAATATATGATGTTTCGATATCCAATAGGAAAACATGCTTTCTAGAGTTTTTAATCGTCGATATTTTTATTTCTGGAAAACTTTTTTCGTTTAGTGCTATTTACTTGATAACAAAATCACAAGACAATCCTTGTAATTTTAACATGTCCCAAAAGTTATAATAAAATATCTCTTTGTCATCAATTATGCATAAATCGAATATTATGTAAATCCTCCATAAGATTTCTATCCCTAGATCGAACCGGGAGCGATTATGTGCGATTTTCATGAGTCCGTCTCTTTTGTAACTTCGTTCCAATTAGCATTTCGAATAGATCTATCTCTTTAGATCTATGTATTTTAGGTGTGCATTCTACACCTTATTCATTTCCTCCTCAAAGTTCGAGTTAACGTTAATTTTATTAGAAATACAAAAAATGCAAAAGAAAAAGATAGCTAAGATGAACAACTCCTATTAGCTAAATTCTCCACACATGTTTCTCCTTTACGCTTTTTCTCGGCCGAACTATGATGCATATGTTTCCTTCTATTTAAGTGCAGAAAGCGCAAATGAGAGAGCTGTTTCCATCGTGAGAACAGGCTGTGTGATGAGCGTGGAGAGAGGGATTCATTACAAAACAAGACCCGCGCGTGCCGCACATAAAGCAGCGTGAAGATGGAACCGATGGACATGACGACGTATCCGAGGAGAATGCATAGCTACGAGGATGAAGAGGAACGGAAGCACTTCCAAAGAATCGTCTCTGCGTTCCGCTATTACAAGTGAGTGTCGGAAAAAATAGATCTATCCATGCTTCGATTCTCTTATCTTTCTCTCGTTTCTTTATGCTTCGTCTCTTTTATCCTCAATGACGACGATCTTTTAACGTCGATGACGATCAGTTCGATTTTAATAAAAAAATTGTCACTTTTGTCATCAGGATTCAGGTCAGTTTGAGTTTCAATCTCAAGAAGCTGTGGCAGTTATAAGAATTTCATCTGTAAACCATTGTCATTCATTCAAAGATTATTCTACGCATTATATATATGGTCTACTAGATTATATATATGAAATTAAATCCATAATGTCATCGGTATTTCTCTGAATGAGTATAAATGTGATAACAATGAAGACACAAAACCTTTTATTTAATCTTCCATCTTTTCTACACAGACCACATTCACTGCAAAGGGTAAAGAAAACTGAATCTTACCTGCTCAGTCTGCCATCACATCATCAAAAACTTCTTTTGAAGTATAAAGACCATCTGCAAGAAGTGAAACGATGTATCGAAAACAACGATCAAATTATAAAACTTATAATAAAAGATGTAGCTCATATATTTGAAAATGTTTGCCCAACTACTGCACAAGTTGATAGCGTAAGAAAGATTTATCTAACATTTTTTAATCACTATACTAAATATCGGACAGCTGCTTATTGTATATTTTATTTAAGTTTGTATATGATGTTTTATCTTTTTTTGTTATCTTATATCTTTACAATAGTGTTCTATTACATGAGTAGATTTAATTACAGACACTGCATCCGCGACCTGTAATGGCAGATCAAGAAAAAGTTCAAGCTACCATTAAGCAATTGGTTCGAGATTGGAGTGTAGAAGGCACTGAGGAACGAAAAACGTGCTATCAACCAATTATACATGAAATATTGTGCCAGTTCCCATTAGAACATTGGTATGGTAATCTCTAATTATTGCATAAGCAATTTATTATTAATTTTATCAAGAAAACAACAAAGGAAATAACAAGGGAAACTTGCGACACGTCTCAGAGATTTTTAAACAAAACTTTGCATTGAAAGCTTAGCTCGACAAAATGGACAAATCTCTGAAAAAACTTGCAGCTTAATTTCATAATCGTTAAACTGCGCCAGAAGCTTCCCTTGTAAACTGCTAAAAAAACATAATCGAGAAAAATGTCGAATGATAGCTAAATTTCCAGTACACCGTCGGACGTGCATATTTTAGTACCTGGTGCGGGATTGGGTCGACTTGCCTTTGAAATTGCCAGGCGTGGATATACCTGCCAAGGAAATGAATTTTCCTTGTTTATGCTGTTTGCATCAAACTTCGTATTAAATAAGTAAGTCGGAATGTGTGATAATATCGCTTACGAGATTGATTGTAATTCCATTTCTTTCTTTCTTACAGGTGTAGAGAAGTAAACTTGTATCAAGTGTATCCGTGGGTACACCAATATATGAATAATTTGAAACCCGAACACCAAACACAAGCGGTTTCCTTTCCTGACGTGAGTCCGAGCGATCTTCCGGGAACAGCGCAATTCTCTATGACAGCGGGCGACTTTTTAGAGGTAATACAAAAGCTCGTACACGTAAATAATTGTAATAATTTGGGCAAAACGTTCAAACGAATTGCATGTTCAAATTATTAGATTGCTGAATAATTCGGAGCACTGTACTTAATAATGATTGAAATTCAATCGATACAATTCACTTCACAGGTTTACACAGAAGACAATCATTGGGATTGCGTTGCGACCTGTTTCTTCATAGACTGTGCTAATAATGTTGTGCAATTTATTGAAACAATTTACAAGATCTTGAAGCCAGGTGGGATCTGGATAAACCTCGGACCATTGCTATATCACTTTAGCGACTTGCCGAATGAGGAATCGATCGAGCCGAGTTACGCTGCCATCCGCGATGTTATTCTCGGCTTTGGTTTTCAATTGGAGGTCAGAGTAGATTCTATCCTCTGTACGCCTCATATTCCTTAAAGTGTTTACAAATGTATGTTTATTTTTTTTTCCAGAAGGAAGAGACACATGTGAAAACGCGTTATGCCCAGAACATTAATAGTATGTTACAATGCGAGTATAATAGCGTGTATTTTGTTTGTCGAAAACCTCAAGAACATTCAGACAACACAAATCACAAGAATGTTGAATCCAACGGCGCGGTGGAACAAGAGAACTAAATCAAGCGCAGTTTATTTTACTCGTGAAGAAAAGTGTTTGGCGCTAAAGAGCTGTTAAGTGCACTCGATTTTCTCGCAATTATCATGTAAAATAGTTCTGCGACTGCATAATAAGTAAGACTTATTATTTTTCTTTTTTTTATATCTTTATCTCTTTACTGACATCTTTACTATCAATTTGTTTCACGATATATAGTACGAGAGAGTTTTCATTGTACTATAAGGCTTGAATCGTACTATTGCTCTGATCGATACACTTGCGTACCGCTTTCAAATGATCGAATATTTTTTAATCGTTTCAACAACTAGAGCGTTACTCGTATTAATGCATGCGCTACAAGTAATTGAAAAGTATTTGATCGATCTGAGAGCGAAGCGTGACCAGATCGCAATTGGATCAATAATATGAACTGAACGTAATAGATTCTGTTGCTTCATGGTAATAGATTATCTATTGCCATGAAAATAATAGACAAATTATTTTAGTATCGATTGGCATACCATACTTTGAGATAACTAATCTAGTTATAATTCCTTTTGGAATAGACGAGTTTCAACATTAATTGTGATTGAAAATGAATAATATACTTCTACAGAGAAAATTGACAAACCAATATATAACATTGTACAACCGTACATTGTGCGAGCAACGTTGTTACGTATATACAAATCAGTCATACTAAAAGTTAGAATATGAAATAAAAATATACCCGGTAGAATTTCTCTCTTTGTTTTTTTATAAGTTTTTATTGAGATATTGTACAAATAATACGGCAATTTGATCGATGCCGCTTTGTTGCATTTTACTATAAGTTAAAAACTGTCGCCGTAATCTCATAAGTTGCGCTGCTGTGCCAGAGTTTCGTACAATCACGCTACAACCCGGTATCTTTATTTCATTGTTTACTCCCAGTTGTTTCGCAGACAATATCGCCTGTGTGATGGAAAAAGAAATATGTACTATTACCTATATATATATATATATATATATATATTATAGACCGTCCGACAAAATTATCATGTACAGCATTATTTAGCAGATCTTGTATTGTACAGTGAAAGAAATTGTTTTAAAAACAAAGACCAAGAAAAGTGTGACTATTGTGCGCCCGCATTCCAATAGACAATTATTAATTATTCCTTGCGACGATTACCCGCAAATGGCTGTGAAATACTTACGTTTATTACATCTTGCGTTATTGTATCCAGTTCGTATAGATAATTCGTGGATGCCAGCGGTGGCTGAAAGAATAAATGTTTGTATAAAAATATTGGATACAACCTTAACTGGAAGAATTATAAAAAAAAAAAACAAGACACTAACACATTGAGTACTTTGATTTGGCTTTGGCGATTTGACTTCGTAGAGCGATCTGTAAATCTCGTCGCAGATCAATTCGTCTTCTGGTGTAATTGCGAAGAGTGGAGCATCCCATCGATTTTTACTATTTGGCGTTTCGTACCTGTTGGATTCAATGTTTGAACATTTTATCTATAAATTACAAACAGAATTTATTTAATTATTCTCATTATTGTTCTTAGATATTTGTGTAATCACCTTGCTACCAGTGCGTCAAAGATTTCTCTGTCATATTTATCAGATTCTGCTCGCTTCTCATTCCACAGCCAAGCATGTTCCACTGGAATATCGCAGTGTATCGTGCACTGTGGAGTTTTGTACAATTTGGTCATGCAGTAGATCTCATATCGGTATCCCTTGATGTAATTACTGCCGTCAAATATCAACAAATCACGCGCATCGAGCTTACGTTGAATGTCCGATTTCAAGGCACTTCTAACACCCTTCTCTTTCTTCGAATCTGAAACACAACAGATGGATTGATTATTGCGATTTGAAATGAATGTTGACAAAGAGAATGTTGACTTGGCTCCACGTCAATCCTGACTGACCTGCGTAAAATGTATTTTTATCATAGCCTGCCTTGGTTATCGCATCGCATTCGCTGATTATTTCTACATTTTGTCCGTTGCTTTTTAATCTATTCTCGAAATATTCCTTCAATTCGAGGCTTCTCGTGGTTTTGCCGCTGCACGGAGTGCCAGTTATTATTATCAGCGGCATTTTTACATAAAATAACCGATTGAATGCGTCATGTAAGATTCAACTTTTACACATGTTCTAACCTCTTGCGTGATCGACAATACAAAATTCAGAATCTTCTCTGATAAATGCGTACTAATTTCAATCCAGTTTTAGAAAATCACATTAAAATAATCGAATCTACTAACTTGAACAATTTGTCATTTCTTTATAAATAATCTAAAAAGAAGTATAACCTATTGCTTTATTTACATCTCTCGTAAATAGCAGCACATCCGAAGAATATATACTCAAGAGACATCTGATCAGTAAATCGGCGCATTAATAATCTATAAGAATTGAATTTTATCGTCGATAAAACATGAATCCTCTTTATCTTGTTCAGATAATTAATTAAATAAAATCGTATGAAGAGCAACTTGGAATCATTTTACTTTAAACAAAAGAGTGGAATAAATTATTTCTAATTCTTATTTCCTAATTAATGATACGTTAATCCATTTTATTTTCTTGTTTTAAAATAAAATAATATTAATTTCCTACTTCTAATACATGCGTAATATATAGGATATGCAAAGTTTCTGTCGTTTTTAAGACAATGTATACATAATTCAATGAATTTCATAATTGACTACATGTATTATATCTGCAAATCAGATTATTTATTTGGACTTGTACAAGCGTTCTGTCATACAAAATAAAAAAAAAATGCTTCAAGCGTGAAATGCTTAATACTCTTCAGCTCCTTCTCCTTCGCCTTCTGCGGAATCCATACCAACTTCTTCATAATCCTTCTCGAGAGCCGCCAGATCTTCACGCGCCTCTGAGAATTCGCCCTCTTCCATACCCTCGCCGACATACCAATGAACGAACGCTCTCTTGGCGTACATCAGATCGAACTTGTGATCTAGACGAGCCCAGGCCTCTGCAATCGCAGTGGTATTGGACAACATGCAGACCGCACGTTGAACCTTAGCAAGATCGCCGCCGGGTACCACCGTTGGAGGTTGATAGTTGATGCCAACCTTGAAACCGGTCGGACACCAGTCGACGAATTGGATGGTGCGCTTGGTCTTGATAGTCGCAATCGCGGCGTTCACATCCTTGGGAACAACGTCGCCTCTGTACAGCATGCAACAAGCCATATATTTACCGTGTCGGGGATCGCATTTCACCATCTGATTAGCAGGCTCGAAACAGGCGTTTGTAATCTCGGCGACAGAGAGCTGTTCGTGATACGCTTTCTCCGCAGAGATAACTGGTGCGTACGTCACCAGAGGGAAATGGATCCTGGGATAGGGCACCAAGTTGGTTTGGAATTCAGTCAAATCGACATTGAGAGCGCCGTCGAAGCGCAGAGAAGCAGTGATGGAGGACACGATTTGTCCAATCAGTCTGTTCAGATTAGTGTACGTCGGCCGCTCGATATCCAGATTGCGACGACAGATATCATAAATAGCCTCGTTGTCAACCATGAAGGCGCAGTCGGAATGTTCCAGTGTAGTGTGCGTGGTCAGGATGGAGTTGTATGGTTCGACGACAGCCGTGGAAACCTGAGGCGCGGGATAAATGGCAAATTCCAGTTTTGATTTCTTTCCATAGTCCACAGACAGGCGTTCCATCAGAAGAGATGTAAAACCTGAGCCGGTGCCACCGCCGAACGAGTGAAAAATGAGAAATCCTTGCAGACCAGTGCATTGATCAGCCAGCTTGCGAATGCGATCCAATACCAAGTCTACGATCTCCTTGCCAATCGTGTAATGGCCACGAGCGTAATTATTGGCAGCGTCCTCCTTACCCGTGATTAATTGTTCTGGATGGAACAGCTGGCGATAAGTTCCTGTACGAACCTCATCTGAAAATCAAATGATCAATTTACTGATGCTTCTGTGCTTTTCTCTATGTTATAAAATATAAGAAATATTAAAGCAGGTACAAACCAACTACTGTTGGCTCTAAATCGATCATTACTGCTCTAGGAACGTGCTTGCCAGCGCCAGTCTCGCTGAAGAAAGTATTGAAACTGTCATCGCCTCCTCCAATAGTCTTATCAGATGGCATTTGGCCATCTGGCTGGATACCATGCTCCAGGCAATACAATTCCCAGCAGGCATTTCCAATCTGTACTCCAGCCTGACCTACGTGGATAGAGATGCACTCACGCTGAAAATGTAAAAATGTATAATTATGTATAAATAAATGTATAAATATATCCAATGTTTTGCGTATTATCTTTTAACTTGATATAAAATTGTTATAACGCCCATATTGTACAGACGTGCGATAAATCTGATAAATAAAAGAAGCGTCATAATTTGGAAGGAATGAGTCATCCATGGCAACAGGACAGAATGGAGCCGGCCGGTACCGCCGTTGCAATGCGACCGTACATTTTATCGCTCAGTTCTTTCAATCATTATTCAAGCTGTGAATACTTACCATTTTGAATTCCGTATAATTCGAGCTTCAACGAAGAAAATCGAGCAGTCGATAGATGCAGCAAGTAATGGAGCTTCTGCTATCAACTACACAATAACGTATCCCGTCGAAAACTGAAACAATTAATGCGCAACGGACTGGCGTAACGCTTTTTATATCTTTCCCAAATCGATTCACTTCGCGGTCGCTTATTGGCTATCATTAGACGCTACTATCGCCATTGTCTTCATTTCTGTACGCGATTGGCTGTTCGCCGACCGCAGAACGCAGGACGCCGTGAAGACGCCACTATGAATATATAGTACCTTTTCGCAGCTGACAATCTATCTACAGGGTGTCTTACAATAATTTCCAACTTGACTCTATACAGCTTTTGTTTTATTGATTTTGCCTCTCCGAAGTGAACGGCTGAAAATACATAGAAATAACTGAAAATCCCATGACAACGATCGATTTTCTTGACGATAGTGAGTAAAACAAAGTCTCTGTCAGAATACAACACGCTTGAATACACTTCAGTACGCATTGTAATATTCTATGTAATAGTATAATAACGAATATTAGCATTCTGTAAGCAAATACTGCGTAATATATGTAATATATGTAAAAACAAACTATATTAATACTAATGTAACAATTATATATATATATGTGTAAATTTCTGAATGCAAAACGCTATCTTAAAATATCAAACTTATAAATTGGAGCATAAATTTATAAGTTTGATATTTTAAGAGATAAAAGATGATTGAATTTAAGTGTATCCAATAGTTCAATTACTTAAATAATATGAATAAGAGAGAGTAGGTTATGCAAATGTAATTTGTTAGACACCTGATTGGTCGATTTTCTTATGCATTATGCAGTTATGCTTGTCTGTATGAATACACTCTTTGCTACACAAAGCGATTATATTGGCAGCTCTGCTATACCGATACGACAAACTTCGTTATTCTTGATTGTCCAAACCAATTGTGAATATTGCATTGTGTAATTGGTCACATTGATCGCAATCTCTTTGTATTTTCTTAACTTTATTTATTATTATCAGCTTAAATCGATTTTCCATAGCATAGTAAAACATGTCTACAAAATCTTCGGTGGATTTGCGAGCAGAATTGGCAGAGTTAGTGAAACGCAAAGCTGAAATAGCTGTGAGTATGTTATGAAAATTTTTATGATTAGGCGCCAAAATGTGCAGAAATATCATGAAACACTTGTGTATATTTGTGAAACAAACCTGTCAAAATTTTATACAATTTTAAATGAAAAAATGATCTAAACAATTTGTAGTTTACAAAACTGAGAGGTTATGGTGTTGGAAAAAGTAAACCTATATACCTCTATAACAAATCTATAACAAATAATACAATATGTACAATTTAAAAATAGCGTTTCTTGGTATTCTTGTTATATCATAGGATGTAACAGTCATCATTAATGACATAATGCAATTTGTATATGCAAGCAAATTTTTATGAAAATATATTTTTGCAGGATACATTAGCTAATTTGGAACGTCAGATATATGCCTTTGAAGGGAGCTATTTAGAAGATACACAATTATATGGAAACATAATAAGAGGCTGGGATAGATATCTGGCGAGCAACAAAAATACTAACAGTAAAGCTGATAAACGTAACAGGAAATTTAAAGAGGCTGAAAGATTATTTTCCAAATCATCAATTACATCTATGGCAGTAAGTAAATATATATATGTTTAACTTTTAAAGGACTGCAGTTTTTTTATTTGGAAATCGTGAAGATTTGGTTTTGAAAAGTAATGTATATGTTAAAATTATAACCTATCACTAATATTGAAATATGATATTGGATTTGAAACATAATGTTTGGCAGCCCTTTAAAAGTTGGCACTATACAAAATGGGAATTTATTTTACTTTTGTGTTTATGAAAAACTAAACATAGATTTTTTATTATTTTTTTTATTATTTGTCATGCTAACGCGTGATTAATTTGTATCGTTTCTTGTTACAGGCTGTTAGTGGACTCGTAGAGAATACACAAGAAAAAAGTAAGGACCTCAATGGATATTCATAATTATTTGTTTGATTATAGGATATTCTTATATTTTTTGTACTTTCTTTATTATTCTCTTTTCTGTTGAGACAATAGCAATTTTATGAATGCACAAGTAATTATTTATATTCAGTTATCTGATTGTTATTGTATTATGTTATAAATATACATTTGCACTGATTTTTTTTTTGTTTGGATTGCTTTACATTAAAATAAAAGAATAAAATTACTAAAGCTAGCATCTGATGTTATGATAAAGTTTGTTACCATTTTTACTGTACTGTAAAATATCATTAATGTAGTCTAATATTGTACATGATGCTGAGCTTAAGTAATTAAGTTCTTTTTAGTATCTGAATGAAATTAGTTGTCCTATATTGTTGTGTTTAGTGCAATATAAAAGATACCTTGTTATAAAAATTATAATGGTAGTTTTTTTCATTTTCCTATTGGTTTCTCTATATAAATAAAATTGCAAAGTGTAAATCTTCATGTTTTGAGGAAATACTAGCCAGTACTTTACAAATACAATAGTAGTGATTCAATGTAATTAGAATAAAAAATATTCCACATATAAGTATTTATATCTAACGATATAAGGAAATCTATATTTGCTATGAGCATAATCCAAGTGAAAACTCTGTTTTTCGTATTAGCTTGTACACTCTGTATCACTCTGCCGTGTATCACTCTATCTGCAAACAATTTTTCTTTGCTTTTTTTCACTTATATGTATTTTGTGCCGTTAACACAAGATCCCTGCTTCCAGTTGAACGATACAGCGAGTCGGAGTCTCAGATTGGAAATAGTGGCAGCGAGGACAATTGCAACTTTGGCAATACGAATGCCCTCTCTTCCAGCAATAATAAGGAAGCTAGTGGGAAAAATCATACCTCTATTCAAACAGGATATGTCCCAAATAATGGCACTCTTAATAATTCGGACAATGCCTCAAATGTTCAATTTACAAATGGATCGATATCCAACGGCAACTTAGAACATGTTACCACACCCGTCAAAGAGTGCCATAGCAATAGCAAAGATTCTAGTAAAAATAAATCGACAAATAGCGCGAAAAAGAATAGCAATAAAAGATCTCGAAATAGGTAGAAATCATTCTAACGATGATGTATTAATGTTACGCGCACTAATTCTTTTTTTTTTTATGAAAACGAATATTGTGTTCATCATTAAAAGGCTTAAAGATAAAAAAAGGTCCGAACACTAAAAGTCTGATTTTTGTTTAACAAAAATTATTCTAGCAAGTTTTAATAACAATTTTTTATTTTTCCAAGTTTTACATTTCTATCTTCCAAGTTTTACATTTCTATCTTTTGGACCTCTTTTTATGTTGAAATTTCCATGACGTTTTTTTACTTTTAATATATTTAATATTTTCAATGTGTTTATTGCATAAAACCCGTAAGTTAACAAAGGCATCTAAGCGTCTGCTTTTATATAACAGAAAAATGTTTGACACATTTTAGTTTACGAAACTATATTGAACATATGATTAAATTAATACTTTTATGCAATGTAAGATAAATTATTTTTTGTTACACGTAATATAGTATATACATTCCAAAAATATAAATTATATTTCTTGCAGTATTAAAAAGTTATTTGAAGCTTTTCTTCCGGCAAAACGTGCTAGGTTAGAAAATATTTTAATTAATATATATTCTATTAATATACATAAAACATCTTATTTAATAAAATGTGTACTAATTCAAAATTTTAACTCAATTCTTATTAATCACTTTTTATTAATACAAAAGGAGAGAGAGCTATAGTTATCCAATATATGTGCAGATTAATATTGAACTCTCAAATCTCAAAAGTATTATATATAGTGTTAATGTTTTTACATCAGTTGTTCATATTAATGTTTTTGGCTTTTAATATAGTATGTGAAGTAATAAAAAAATAAAAAAAGATCTTTGATTTTTAATTCTATTTTTAATGCTCCAGTTTTAATATATGTAATTTTATGTGTATGCAAAAAGCAAAGGTTCTTTTGATTTTTCATAAAACATTTAAGATATTATTAATAAAGAATTTAAAAATTTACGTGTATGATGTTTGATTACATATAATATGTAAGATTAAATTTTTTACTTGAAAAAAGCGATTTACTTCAAAACAAATACAATATTAGATGTTCTATAAACGAAAATTATACGTAGTATAAAAAGAATTTCTATATTTAAGTATATGTATGCTTATATCAGACATGAAATATGATATAATGTAAATTGTGGACTACGTTGCAAAAAGCACCATTTTAAAGTAAGAAAATTGTATAATTTTTAAGAACAAGGGAAACTATATTCAAAATACGTTGCGTAGAAAATATGCATATAATATCTAGAGGAAAAATATATTTTGCAAAAGGAAAAATAGTAAATTAAGTTAATATTAAATTGCATGCCTATCGCTTGCAAATATGGCACCGGGTACGAACGCTTTTACTTCGACGGCAGATTTCGTATTCCTTGAAGGTTCGCTTCTAGTTACAACCGCATTAAAACCGTTATGGTCATCAGCTGTGTAAGAAACAGTACGGATAGTTCCGTCCGCTTCAACGACTGAATATTCTCCTTTAACTGTATCTCCGTCTCGTTCCTCCCATGCTGACTTCGAATCGCCGGTATATCCGTCGATTACGCCATAATTAAAAGAGTACTTGGGATACGCCTAAAAAATTGAAGAATATCTTTTTCAAACTCGGATATTGTTCAAAAAAATGCGCAAGAATTTTTTAAGCAAAAGAAAAGTTACTCATATGGTTCTGAAACACCCTGAATACGAAAAGTCAAGCTTTACTTTAAGTAATTAGAGAGATAGCGTGCAAATTCTTTCATTCGAAAACATTTAACATCCATTTATTTTGAATTATTCATCGAAGTGGACAAATTTTCACGTTATTTACCATGTATTGAACATCCTTTTCCACTAATTTCGGTTTTGTAGCTACGACAGCCGATGCAGATTTGACGATGGGCGGCGCGATGTACACCAAGGTAGATGTTCTCGGCAAAGGCTTGTATAACAGAGGTGCTGACACTTTAACATATGCAGGTGGTGGAGGTGATACGTAATCTTCTGGTTCCGATTCGCTGTTAGTTTTCCTTGATACGGGGTTCAACGTACACGCGATGGCACCGAATGGACCTGACGACGCCGTCGAATCCACAGGTGCGCACGGATACGAATTCCTTGATCTTCTGAATGGTTGAGGAGAATATCTATCGAAAATATAATAATCATCGTCTTCCTTGCTTTTCCTTCGTTCTTTTTCAATCCGGTTAATAGCATAATGAGCTTCTTGCGTCTTATACTTACTCCCGAAAAAGATCCGCTCGGCTGTAACTGAGCAAGGTGTACAAAAAGAATATCTGAAAACAGCAAAAGGTTTGTGACAATTTTTCGCGTTGTAGCGGATTTATATAATTATTATATTATGAGAAATGTATTCATGAGAATTGAACGCAAAGATTATTTAATAGTTTATAAGATTCTACTTTTATATCGCACATCGTCTAACTAATTATAGTGTTTCGATTATGTAATAGAAATCAGATAGATCATATTATCCCATTCTTTTCGTATTCGAAGTACCAAATCGTTAGTTCACACGCCTCTTCAATAATGAATGTATCGATCTAATATGTGTATATTGATCTATACTTTAGAAAAAGGTATTAATCTATTTACATCTATTATGTATATAGATATTATATATAATTGAAGAATAGATGGACTTAAGAGATTTTTATAGCTCTATGTATCTTTGGATCTACATGGAGTTTGTGGATTTAAGAATGCACGTGGAAAGAGGACGGCAGCGATCATTAACTCGTTTCATTGCACAATGTATATTTGCTCCGCGCGCATCATGTTTAATTAAAACACTATTTCGACAAGGATGATGATTCTGCGATTCGCGCAACACAATCATCTTATTTATTCGTGAGACTTAACTGCATGATGCGATTTCGCGCCAACTTTTATAATGCAAATGAAGTTTATAATAGATAATTATGCGGATACACGATGCAGAAACATTGGCTGCTACTCATTAAAAATGTTAAAAAAAGAAATGTAAAGCTAAATTTTAATCTACAAATTTTATAAATTACATTTTAAAATATTATTGTTAATTTCAAAAATATGGGAAAGAATATTAATAAAATTGCATTTTTATATTTTCAATAATATAAAATATTCAATGTTGAAAAGTTAAAAAGAATAGTGAATAGAATTGAATAAAATATATAATATTATTTATTATATCTTAAAATAAGTATAAAAAATATACTAACCGTGCCACAAATGATTTCTTCTAAACTATGCTTTCTTACAGCAAAGAACATTGTAATTCGTGTTTTGAGCACTGGAAACACACAAAATACTCTTCGTCGTTTGATTCGCGAATTTATCTTTTATAATTATATCTGAAACAATATAATAATCTCCTTTTTATCTGTGTTTAGTTTTTCAATCGAACATTTTTCACGTAGATTTAAATAAGAATGCGCGTTTTAAATCCAGAAAATGGGAATTTTTGAAAGCGGCAAATACTCGATCGCACTTTAAAATAGTGAATACCGTAGTCGTTCCCGTGAATTTCGTGATCTCGCGTGGATAATCACGTGGACGGCTCTCGGGTCTCGAGGGTAACGAGAGTTGCAGCATCCCACGGGTGCAACTCTTCTTTATATATACTACGCGAACATTCACTTACATTTTTGCGCGGACCAAACCGGCGGATTGCGCAGTGCATGGATTGCGCGTTGCAAACTCGTTGATGGGAACATCGCTGATCGGCTATCGGGACGTTGCTGTTGTCGCTATCATTGTGCGTTAGATGAATGTGCAGAAACCTGCATTATAATTCTGCTATCTTTGGCTCGCGATATTTTTGCAATTTCTAACATCTAGAGAATTCAAATACATTATGATTAAACATGATTCACTTTTCTATTGCGAAATAGATATAAATCAATTTTAAGCATCCACAAGGAATGACAATTGTACATACATATATGAGAGTTGTTCAATGACAATTGCGTATTGCTGCGTATCGAAATCTTCTGATATTTTTACGTGGCCATATCAAAATCAATTACAATAAATTTTCTAGCCTGTAAAATTATTCGATAAATTGCACAACCAGTAATTTTCATAGATTTATATACGATATTGCGCCAATACAAACCAGGATAAAATTCAAGCATTTTCTCATCTTTTAATCCTTTTTTTAGGTCTATCATTCGAGAACATCATATTAAAGCGGTAATTTTTTAGTTGTTCAATAACAACGATTAAAGGCACTTTCACTTGCACACACATAACCGCAAAAATAATAGTTTAGCATCTCTTTCATTAAAGCGAAATCTGCAGATGGTTACCAAAACTAACTGTAACGCACAGTCCACTCACAATCAGTTCGGCAAATGGAAAAGTAACGATTTTAAATTGGATGCAGAAAAGAAGTACATTATAAAAAATAATAAATTGATTGTAATGTGTATTATGTGCATATGCGTACTAATGATGATGTAAACTCGTTTTATTGCTAAATTAGAATTACATAAACATATATATTACATTTGACATTCTTTTGCTTTTTGTTTGACATATTCAATATCCTCTTCAGATACCGACGGTGGCAACCCACACGCTAATTCTTCCTCTCTAATAAATGCAAGCTTCTCCGCTTTTTCTTTGTAAAAATCCTTCTGTAAGTCTTCCAATTCTTTTTTGTATGCGGTTAGTTTATCTTGTACGATTTTGTCGCAATATTTCTCCGTTAGTCGTGTAAAAGACTCTTTCCTGGTAATCTGTGTTGGTCCGCTGTAAAATATTTTATAGAAATATTTCATTATTTTTATATAAAATTTCAGAAAAAGATTAATAACATTTATAGAATAGTTTATATAAGTTAGATATAAAATTCTTACCTGGGTATTGGTTTATAAACAAGATTGAGTTTTTCCAAGATCCATTCAAAACGTCTATAATCCCATTTTCGCAAGTTTGACAGCCATTTTTTCCGTTTATCAATCATTTCTTTCACATAAGTTTTTGCACGTGAATTCCTGGGATGTTTTTCCAAATATTCTTGCCCTCGTAATATTTCGCTGGTCGCAAAAGCAACTAAAAAATAAAGACACAAGATATAAGCAGATGTTATCTTGTTACTCTGTAATAATCAATAATATTTATTTAAACTATGCATTACTTATAGCTTCCGGCGATTTCCGATCTGATTCATATCTGTGGACCAATTTCATAATCTTATTTCTTCTAGTCCTGATTGTTTCTTTATTTGGTAAATATTGTAATGTAAACATCTTTTTGACAATATTGCTAGCACTGATAAAAAAGATAAAGGTAAATAAAATAAAAGTAGAAACATATATAAATAAACCATTGGATGCATATCAGAATAGAATATGTTAGTACTCACTCTTTTATTTCAGGAGATTCGCTGTACATTTCGCAAAGATCAGATGGCTTTATTTCAATATTTATTCCCATATCGCCAGATTTCTCAGGCAATATAGGCGAGACTTTCTCTGGTCGTACCCAAGTGATTTTGTAGTCAGCTATAGAAGTGGCATATCTTCTCGAAAGGTCACTACTATTTTTCAATAAATTTGTAGTTATCTTTATTGTCTGCTTACAGTTATTTATTATTATATTCATGTCGTTTGTTCTCTCTTATTTAGACTCCAGCTAAAAATTTAATGACTTAGTTGTTTGTGAAATTCAGTAGAATTTTGTCAGGTTAGAAAAGTGTACACACAAGGTTTGCCTCAACATGCTCCTACTCGCTCCAGTATGCACTAATCTGTAGTATTACGTTACGTGTATTACAGATTGCAGCGAGTAGGAGCATGTTGGGGCATGCGACGTGAACAAACCTATGATACTGGCAAGTAAAACTGAGCCAATTTAATTATAGAGATTATATTATTTCAATTATATTACACTACGTGTAATAGCTTTTTATTAATTATAATTTTGAAAATTTAGCTTATTTTAGAAATAATGGTCGATTATGTCACTCACTGACATTTTCAGGTGCCTCGATAGAATTTACCTACTGAAACGCATCCAACAAGTACGCAGGAATAATTCGGGTGGCGTTCCGATTCATCGACGTTACCTAGTGCGTCTAATGGCGCCGTGTTGGCCGTCTATATTAGTCCGATCTGCTCTTCTGCTCGTACGGAAAGGACGAGAAATGGCTTGCTCCGCTGTACGGTCGCCCGTTCTTCGTAGCCCAGCGGTATGGCGAATCCTTGCGAGTCTTTATCATGTTCGATCATATCATTTTTCCATGTCGCCTGATATTCGTCCAATATACATTGACTTTTACTCATATATAGGTGTTATGTAAATCGTTGAAGAACGACATGTGTTAACCTTGCGATCTCCTAAAATGAAATGATTTTCAAAATTCAATTTTGACATATTCCACCATCATAATTTCATGCCACTCACACTGTCAGATTAAAAAATATTTTTGTTTATTTTGTAAATGACAATTATCGCGATATATATTATGGTGCTCTTCAAATATTTTATGAGCAAATACACTTCAAGTATGGCTTTTTAGTACTTGTGTTACTTTAGGTGAGACATTATGCAGCTGCAGCAGCGACTCAATGCTCCAGCGCAGCAGTGCCTGAGCTTCAGGTACTGTCAAGCAATAAAGTGACTGTTGCTGCGCTTGATAATAACAATCCTGTCGCTCAAGTGTCGGTTATCTTCAGGTAACGAAAAGAACAATTATAAATTAGATACATGATTGTCTTATATAAAGTATTGTCTCACAATTATTTTTACATCTAGAGCGGGATCGCGCAATGAGACCTACGAAACGCAAGGTACAGCACATCATCTTCGTATCGCCACTGGTCTAAGTACTTGCAGGTCGACCACTTTCGGAATAACCAGGAATATTCAGCAACTCGGTGGAAACTTAACCGCCACTACCGATCGCGAAAGTATTGCTTACACATTACAAATTACAAGAAATAACTTGTAAGTGATTTCTTATTAAATTATTGGAAATGATTTATATATCGAATAATTTTCAATGTTTATATTTATGCACTACAACAGAGACAAAGCCTTAACGTTTTTGGAGGATGTCGCCACGCAGCAAGTGTTCAAACCATGGGAAATAGCCGACGAGCTGCCCAGGCTGCGCTATGAATTGTCCACGATACCCGAGGCAACTCGTATAATAGAATTATTGCACAAGGCAGCCTATCGCACTGGGCTGGGCTACTCTCTGTACTCGCCAAAGAGACAACTTGGAAAAATTAATACAGAAACTGTACGTAATTACAGATTAACGCAATATACACAATATAAGAAGTAAATTCACTTTGCCTCTTCACAGCTGCAACATTTTGTCAATACCTGGTTCACCGGCAACAAGTGCGCAGTTGTGGCAACCGGCGTATCGCTGTCAGATGTATCCCAGTTTGCTTCAAACCTGAAAGTAGGCTCAGGAGATAACACCGTGGCGGCTGCCAAGTATCACGGTGGGGAACTTCGCAAGGAGCGATCCTCCGACCTGACCACTGTGGCGGTAGCCGTTGAAGCTGCTGGCTTAGACAAAGAAAAGGACGCTCTCGCTTTTGCCGTGCTGCAGAGAGCGCTTGGCTCTGGTCCACGTGTGAAATGGGGTAACAGCGTGTCCCCGTTGCAGAGGGACGCGGCAAGCGCGGCGAGCGCCGATCAATTCGCTATCACGGCGTTTAACGCTGCTTACAGCGATTCCGGGCTGTTGGTTTCGTTCTCTCCTCGCTGCCCAATATCGCCGGTTCCGTAAGTTTTATTCAGCAATGAGTTGAAAATAATTTTTATCAAATTTATATGTATCACATCTTACTTACAGGTGACGAAAGCTGCCGCGGCACATCTAAGATCACCGAAGCTTTCCGACGCTGATATCACACGCGGTAAAGCCACCTTGAAGGCAGAGATATTATACGCCGCAGATAACGACGCCGCGCTCCTGGAGAACATCGGACAGCAGGCGCTCCTTAAAGGACGCTTGTACAAGCCGTCCGATCTCGTTGCGCAAGTGGACAAAGTAACTGCGTCTGAAGTCAAGTCGGTATGTAGATTTTATTTCCCAGAATATTTGTTTGTGTGTCCGACTTTTCTATACAGTTTACTTTTTCAATCTTACGAAATATTTAATCTTATTTTTCGTATCTATAAAAATATGTATATTTATACACGTACATAATTCTTAAAGAACAGACATGACGGAAAATAATTGTTTCTTTATGGCTTTCAGGCTGCCGGAAAACTCGGTAGCGGAAAATTGTCTATGGCTGCGATCGGCAATCTATCCACTATTCCGTATGTCGACGAATTGAAGTAGACACAATACTGTAAATCTGAATACCATTAACTGTAAACCCTCGATTTCTAAATCCTGTTTAGAGATGCTCGCGTTTATCAGTGTAGAATCTACTACGCGATATTAATAAAAGCATCGCTGTAGTTCATGTATAGAGTCGGATATCTGTCTTGGATATCTCACTTATCTATAAGACGGAAAGAGATTTAATAAAAAGAAAATAAAATGTTAAACTTATATATAATGTTGAAATTTCTCAGTGGCGTTTATAACATGTGTCTATGGCGCAAAATTAATAGAAAAACATGTATAAAAAATGCAACATATTTAACAAACATGAAAAAGAAACGCGTCTCTAATTTACTTCATAATTTAATAAAGTTTTATTTCTTCTATAGAATAGAATTTATTGTATGTTTTCGACGTTAATCGTAGCGATTTCCCATTATTAGTCCTTTCTATCATAGGCCTCAAGTTCTCCAGATCTTGCAGAAATTGGAACTAGAGAAAAAATAATTTCTGTTAAGTGAAGAAAACAATAGAAATTGTGCGTAGAATACTTGATACTTACATGGTCTTCTAAAACGGAATTCAATTGATTGAAAAGTTCCAAAACGCGTGAATCTTGCGACAATAAATAATGTTGATAATGAGAATCGAGAAGTACACAGGACCACTCGTACAGCTGCTGATCGCTTGGTTGCGGATTATCATCAAGCGACTCTGTTTTCTCATTCAACTTGTGCATCAAATATTCCAACAATTTCAGCACCTCGTCGAACGTCAAACCAATTTTCAAGTGAAGTAACAGAGAAACATTAGAATAACTGATACTAAATATCTTGTCAAGAAAACTGTTCCTTGAATAAGAACTATTGGCTTTCGATACACTGTCGGTCTTGCCGTTTTGCGTGGGAACGAATACATTGTCCGGACTCCGCAAGGCGAACGCCAGAAGACCCACCAATAACTTCTCCGGCAGATCTCTAAACGTGTCGAGACACCAACAGATCGATGGGACGTCATTGGACTCCATCACAGACGGAATCACCGTCTCCTGTATCGCGGCGTCGCTCCAGCCCTCGTTCAAGTACGTGTGGATCTGTTTGGAAATATTCGAGGGCACTCGACCTATCGAGTTCCTCGCGCGCACCTGGTTCTTATCCCATTGTGCCACCGTTGCTTCCTGTATCACGATGATGTCGTCCGCCTCGTTCTTACTATTGTCGTTCTTGAAGTTCAAGGACGAACCCAGCATAGCAGCTATCCTTTGCGGCGCGAGGTGATAGGGCGCGACCGCCAAGTGCCTATTTGCCGCGAGTAATAATTTATCCTCCACCTTCCAGAGCTTGGCGCCATTCGTGTAGAGTTTGAGCTTCTGCGCCGCTTGCACCAGTTTGAACTGTACGTTGTATATCATCAGTACCGCTCCTTCGTCTGTGACGTCGGCGCCGTAGACTGCTATGATCGTCTCGTTCAAATGCGACATAACAACGGGATACTTTGTATTGATATTGGTAATCACACTGATCAATCTATTGGGTTCCGGTTCTGAAGACGTTCCTATCAAGAAGTGACTATACAATCTACCATGTGACCCTGAAACAAGTGCATAAATCTGTACAATCTTATTATGAAAAGAAAACGTAGATATAATCTTAATAAATTCACAGATAATTTCTCAAATTATCCAATGCCCAAAATTAGCAAACTTTTTAGTTACTTGTCTACGTAAAAAAAAGACAATTTATATTATATATTTATTAAAACAATTTTCTAAACAAAAATTCATTTCTAAACCAAACATACAAATTCTCATCCCAAATGCTAAACATATTGTCTTAATTTTCTCTCATGTACCAGAAAAATGTCAATAATTTGTTTTTGAACAATTGTTATAAGCTACTCATTAGTAATATCGAAAGCAAATGTGTTAATAATTAATGCCACTTACATAAAGTTAACAAGTATGCATTGTTCTTGTAATGTATTACCACGTGTCCCACAAGATCCTCTGATCTCCGCTTCAATTCTATTCTTCTGACGGTATCTGCTTTTTCTACACAAGTATCATTCTCTAATTTAACCACCACGCAATTATAAACCTCTTCTATCCTTGTCAAGTAAAATAGGCTTGTCTGGTTATTTAAGTATATCAACTGACAATCCAACAGTTTCTCCTTGGCCTTGGTTATACCCTTGCTCACCCACGTCTTCCTGTTTGCAATTGCCCATTCCAAGGAAGCTGTAGCTCCGTTCTGTTGGACCAGAATGGATGGCGACTCATCGTGTGGCAAAATAGCATAAAGCGGGGACTGAAATTTATAGCCCTTCACGGCGTTCAAGTCCGCTTCCTCCTCCGACCAGACTCGTATCCTTCTCTCATTGAAGACGGCGACATAACGCTGTTTGGACTTGTCATAGATAACTTGTGTTGTCAATCTCTCCTTGCTAGACCAACTGCTGATCTGTTTCAAATCTTGCAGCTAGAAATACGTATGCAATTATTAAAATGTAATTTAAAGCACAATTACGGTATTGTGGCATCGGCTAACCTTATATCGTATCACTATGTTCCTACCGAGAGTCACTACCGCACAACCCGATTCTTTGTCCTTTTCGACGCCCAGTAGACTCTGCTGGTCGATGAGCGGACATAATGTGTAATACGAACTGAGCTTCGCCATTTTCGTAACATATAGAGCGTTTGACAAAATTTATTTCGTATTTACACCAATTTACACTGATTTCCACAGGCAGACAAGCATCACACACGTGCTGCTAAGGTTGCTAATTTTCTCAAAGCCACCTATCGTCCACCGATATCAATTATTCAGCACATATTAATTATTCATTACATTTTCAATCGCGGGTAATATCAATTTCTAACTGATCGAGTCGGTTTTTATTTTAAATTATCGATAAGTTTTGCGAGATTGTCACAAGAGTGACAATTGTTTTTGCTTATTAGCGCCAAAACAATTGCAAAATGGATGGTGTGACAACAATAACGGAAGAATATTGCAACTTTTCTCAAGATTGGCGTACATTCTTTTTTTACGAGAAGAAGCAGAAGGAAGCTCTTTCTTTAGTCGCATTATGTTGCATTTTCTACGTTTAAAATAAGGTAAACATATACATTTGATCGAATCTGATACAGAACACTCCTACACACACCACATATCAAAAGATGAAAATTGAAAGAAAAGAAGTATGGAAAGTACTGTTGCGAGAAAGTAGACGTAAAGCGAGCGAATAGTCTAGCTAGAACGAAAAGGTATTTAATCAAACGACTGAGGCGTCAATAATTTTGTCCCAGGAGGCAGATGCAAGTTTCTTTGCAGATGTCTGACCACCCACCATCTTCGTTTCCACTTTGAGAGATGTTAACGTCTCAATTGTGTCGACCGATCCTGACCGATCCCTATATATGCGTAGCGTCTATAAACGACCGATAAAGAAATCGAAATTGGAAAAGCCAGTGGACAATGCTAGAAAGAGAGAGAGAGAGAGAGAGAGAGTTCCCTTCTTCTTGTCCCTCCTTGCTCCTTGCCATTGTGTAGCAAGTCGAATCGCTCTTTAAATGTAAAGATTTCTTTCAAGCGAGTTCCCTGAATGTGGACGTGGCCTGTTGTCGAATGGAGGCTAATCGCAATACGTTACGCCTCTAATTCATCTTTCAATTCCAGTCGATCGTCGCGGGTATCTCTACGTGACGATTATGATGCCAAAGGCACAAGGTGTTTCTTCCCTGCCACATGTCTTTTGGATAAAGAACTTTGATAGTCTCTTGCAGCATATTCAGGCAATAATGCAAGAGATGCGCAATATGGATTTTCTAAAAAGATTCCTTCGCAACTCTTGCTAAATATAAAATAGATTAATTAGAAGAAACTGATGTATTTTATTCTGAAAACTATATCTAATTTTTATTGTTAAGATACATTATAATGTTTGAACTTTTTTCTATTTTTTATTTATTTATTTTTTATTTTCATTTTTCTAATCAAATTATTTAACTTTTTAATGAAAATTAATTCTTAATATTTGCTCTTCAAATAGAAGTCTTCTTTGAGTGAGAATTTGAATAAGACGAGCTTATTGATAAAAGAAACCAATTGTAATATGTTTTGATTCGATTTCAGCTGATTTCCAAGATCTCTGACTACGATGATATCGAACGCACAAAGGAGTTCTCTACTGCATTATGGACTTTTTGATTCTGACAAATATTGCAAAAAGTGTGGAATGTGTATTTTAATATAAAGATATATCTCCATTGCTGCTGCATAAAAATAGACAAAAACCAAAGAAATTTATGATAATTTTATTCTGCAAAGTAAGTAATCAATCTTTTTTGTTATCAGAATTTTTCTTATTACGACTTTTTGTTACTAAGGTTAATGTCAGTGCATTTTCTCATTTCTTTTTATTCTTTTTTATTTATTTTAATAGTGCAATTAAACAATTTAATCTTTTAATAAAAATATTTCTTTGGAATTCTTTCTTTGGAAATATGCATATCTAAAATATTTATTTAATAAACTTTTTATAAAAAAAAAGAAATGAAAAAGAGGCTTTGCACTGTCCAATGTATAAACTTAAAAATCTTGAAATGTATATAAAAAGAGTATTTTAAAACTTTTCTAATATCTAATTTTTTTATAATTTTGAATATCTTTCATAAAAATTGATTTCTTTTTCTACATTTTAATTAACATTTCTAGAGAAATATTGAAGCTATTTTTTTTTAGTAATATTTAATTTAAGTGTATCGCAAAATTATTTTCTTCGCAAGTTTCTACAAATCTTTATTAAGAAACCGTGCATCGAATGATTAATGTTACGTTTGTCTGGGAAGAAGATGTAACTGCTATCGCTAGCACGTATCCGTGTAACTTTTTATCGCCCGAATAAAAATTAATATATGTTATGAATTTCTCTCCACCCCCGTGGCTTGGTCTCTGATTTCATTACATCGCTGCACGAATAGTTGCTTCCTTCTCTATCATATTTTCTTATTCAGGACAACCTGCTGTCGAGATTTTGTGCGTCTCGGCACACGCCAACATGGTTCATCCAGATGCAGCCCCCAGCCTTGGTCCTGGCGCTAGAGAAATCTTCCCGGTCTCACGGGCGGGGCGCAGTGGGGTACTGCACCGCGTCAGAGCGCTGTATAAATCTACGTAAGAATACGGGAACCCTCACAGCGGGGTTCGGCCTGATTCCCCGAGAGAGAATCGGGGGAGAGATGAGAACGTGTTTGCTCTTTCCCTCGTTTCGGTTCCCTGCTGCACGCGATCGGGGATTTGACCGAATCGAACTATGGGAGTTGTCGGGGTGGGGGTACGACTATATAACTTTGGGGTAGGTCGCCGAAGGAACAAGTTCCCTCTCAGAAGACGCGTGTGTAAGTTGGTTACTGCGTAGTGAGTTGCAACGCAAGGGTGGATTTTAAGTGTTACGGACATTGACATCGCCGGCCGAAATCTCCACAACAGGAATTGCAAACAGAAATGCGATTCTTACTTGATCGTTAACTGACGCCGGAGAAATCGACGCTACAATGCTGCTAATCGCTGTCATCAAAATTCTGTTGATTTGTAAGTATTTGTACGCGCAAGGTGCACCGTGCATATAAAATAATAGTGGGGGGAAAGAAAGTGGAGGGGAAAGGAAAAAGAAAACGAATGTTTTTTGTTTAGATGGTTTTCGCGACGTTGTATTGGAAATGCTAAAAACTAGATAAATGAAGAAAGTATAAATAGTTCTAACGTCGAGAGATCGGTTTTTGAGATTCTTGGCTAGAAAATTTTTATTCCCAAGTTCAAACAATTTTCACTTGTAATTTATTATTATTTTGGGCTTTAGAAAAAGTTTTTCATTTGTATCGCAACTTTTTTATTCTTTTCAAATTTTAGCTCACAGATTTTTTCGACTTTCAAGTTTTTAGATATACTCGGTAGTGTTGCAAAGAAAGTTTTATGATATTGTTTTTATGTATAATTATATTTTTGTATATCAAAAAGTATTAAAGTAGAAGGGAACACGATTTGAAGAGTATTTGCGAAAGAGGAAGTTACACATGTGTACGAGATAGAAGCATTGATAGCCACATGTGTGACGCTAAAGACGCAAGACTAATGATATAGCAGATGTAACATGAAGCAAATTCCGAAAATTGTTTTGTGTCGGGAAGAATGTTTCACACTCTAAAACTGTTTTTGGATCACAACAGAAACGCGTTGTCTTTGAATTAGACTCGAATCTGAAATGCAAAGTAATATTAATGTAATATAAATTGATATAAGAGATTGATTTATCAAATAAAATTAATTATTATATTTATCGTGTTTAAAAATAAATTTCAAAAATATTACATAGCATTTTGAGGTAATTTTTAATCATAAAAATAATTACTGTTAGCTTCAATCACGTTTCCATCTGGAAGAATTATTTTTATTCTTTTTTTCTACAAAATCCTCTTGGTTTGTAATTGTGCTAAAACAAAATTTAAAAAAGAGGGACGATAAATCTGTATGAAATTAATGATTTGTTTAAATTCTTTGTTGGTAATCTAAAATCGTCTCATGCGCTGTCGTCATTGTTGGCTGCTGCATTCGCTGTCCAAGTTCCAACGCACAGCTGGAATATCAATCGCGACAATAACACAACACAATAAGAGAAACGACGAATGCCGGGAAATACAGCGCGTCAATTGAATGTTAAACAGCCGTGAGAGCATACTGAGCTACTCCTTTCTCGCTTGATTTCTTCTTACAATTAGCAATCTTCTTCTTGCAGGTCGCATCTCGTCGATGCAGGCACGCGATGGTATTTCGTTGCCGATTACGTGCGTGCGTGTCAAATCGTATTGAGAGTATTTAGAAGAAAAACAGCTTGTGAAAGTTCTACGGTTTTACTTTAACATGATATATATTTATATCTTCAAATATATTCTTAAACTCGAATGAGACTTTTGTCTGATATTTCATGGTTAATTTTCAATGGCATTTCTTTGCTCGCCGTAAATTGTGGTATATCTACAGAGCCCGTCGATTTTTCAAGTCAATCTTCGAAACTGTCCACTCAATCATAGTCGCGTGCGACAGTTCGACCTTTCACAGCGGGAATTTGGGAATTATCGAACCTGGAGGTCTCACGACAACAGTTGCGAAACAAAAGAAAGGGAGATTGGCTCGTCACCTTGGAGGAAAGTGTATGTGGCATGCCTCGATGGCATGCCTCAGGTAGTCGACTCAGCGTGCGGTAGTAGGCCCGTCTCTTATCGATGGGCACATAGTCGAGCCGTGTATAATGCGGGGTGCACATCCATCGTCCCTCCCTCTCGCTTCTGCATTGTCCCGTTCAGCTTGTAAATCTTGAGTAAACTCACGACGGGTGGCACCATTTTTATTTCAGCTTTTGTCTCGCGTCTCGATTGTGTCGATTCATATCTTGACAACTCGACTGTCTATTTAGGTCAACTAGGCTTTCACCCTACAGTCACTTATCTTAAAAGCAAACATTCCGCCCGATTTTCCGCTTTTGTCATTTGTCACAGTGTTGATTGAATTGTTTCTTTTACAGTGGAGACATGTTGCGTCACAATCGCAAATACTTTGAATATATTGGAGCAATGCGCATGGGCCATCAAGCAAATCGAGGAAGAGGATCATGAAACCGTCGTGGAGAATTCTTCCGCCGCATTGCATACCACGTGGGTGTCTCAAGGGTAATTATCCTTCTTCGGCAAATTTGCATCATTATTATACGCAATTAACGGGTCTGGAATTTTGGAAATAATCAATTTTATTTATATAAGCTCCAAGATTTCTTTTTTTTTTTATGTAACCATTTTGTTGAGATTATTTTAGTCTTGATGTAACTTGACGATTGGAATTAAGCTGAAATAATTTGCAATACGATTTTCCATGACAGATGCGAAGTACAAGCCGGTCCCCGGTTTGTAATCCGAAAGTACACCTTCTTTCAAAACAACACATTTCTCTTAATGCGTTTTTACTACGCTGACGATTCGTGCTGTGTAGCGTCGCATACCGTCGAGATTCGGGGTATCATCCATTTACAAGAATTGTCCGACATCGTTTCCGGCGCGACTGAGACGAAATTTCACGTGAACACCGTTCATATTACACCTCTGAATGAAGAGGTACTTATAAATCGATTAATTTGAAGAATCTATTAAAGTGAAATTGTTCAATATAAAATTAGAAACATATATCATAAGAAAAAATGATCGAGTGACAAAAATGTGAAAAATAAGAGAGTGAAATTGAAAGTCTTAACACTTGTGATTTATACTGAAAATTAATTTGCAGATTACTTATACATTGGAAACCAAATTTAACCAGAGCTGTGGTCCTCGGCCGAAATGGACAATTTATAATGCCGAATTGATTTACGAGCAGTCGTACAAACGCTCATCTGTGTGGCAGAATCCGATTCATAATTCTCTACAAGTTCCCTCTTTCTCAGATTTGCAGCTTGATATGTATTGCTTGAAATCGTTTGGAATTGATTTCGACGAACTGAAACTACTGAGAGTGGAAAGAAGACCAACGTTGATCGGCTACAAGTATTGGCGTCTATTGTTGGCTAATCCCGTGTCCCATGTGTATTCTCGTTGTTGTTACAAGCCGACCTCTTTGCAGCCCACCGCAATGGTTCGCGCTGATATGGTACGTCTGAGTTTCCTCAGGAAGTCATCACTTATATACAACGCTATTTTAAATTCTTGCTGCGATTAAAACGTAATTCTAATTTTGCGATAAAAAACGGAGACATTGATAAGCATAAATTGTTATAATTTATGACATATTTACGCATGTCTATCGTATAGAAACGTATAATAGTGTCTTATTATGATTGCAGAAGAAAGATTGTCCGTTATGTAAAATCCTATCCCGAAGCACCGCGACCATTCCGCCGGTTCTTCATCAAGCGGTGCCACTACCCGCGATAATCGGGGGTTACTGGCTCAGTGAAGGATGCGAGAGTACTACGGGCGGCAGCTGGTCCAAACGGCGATTCGAGATATACGCGGGCGACAGGCTGTGGACCGGCCAATGGGATTACTACAGCGATTCGCAGTGCAAGAACTTTCTGTACACGACAACCGCGTCTGGAAGCTACACGCTGCGAGGCGCAAAACTGGGGTATTTTAGGAAAGTAATCAAGCGGGAGATTTTCCTCAACAATGGATCATGGAAAGATGTGACAAAACGCACTACAGGCAGAAAAAGACAGAAAGACAGAAAGGTGAAAAGGCAGAAAAGATCGACGACTGAAGGCGTTGATCAGTACTTGCAAAACATAAAATCCTCCACGAAGGATGAATGGCGAATTGCGGCGATGTTGCGGAATCGTCGGACGTCATTGAGCGAGACTACCACCGAGAGGCCTTACCGGATCATACCTTCCGGCATTTCGGAGCTGGACCTGCACGTCGTTGAGAGCTCGTTAATCCCCGAAGATGCCGCGATGTTCATTCACTGCGTCTTCGATAAGCCGTTCGGTTTAGCGCCGGACGTTTGGGAGAAATATTGCGCTCCACGCATCATCGAGGTGTCTTCGATTATAAGACTGCGGGCCAAGCTAAGTGTCAACTGGAACGGTCAGTACGTCTTGCTGTTAGCCGATCAAGACGAGCATCCGTGGCAGGCGCCGCTGCGACTATGCGCGTCTACATCGCCGCACAATCGCGAGCTGCAAATGCATCTCCACAAGAGCGTCACCCATCGCTTCGGACTACTTTCCTCGACTGCAACGACGATAAGTCAATTCTTCTCCGTTTGGTTTTACTTGTTGCAATTCTTTCTATTCTATGTATATTATCTCGCGCGGTGATATCGCGCGTCTGAGTCGCTATCTTTGAAAGTTCGAGGAACTTTTAGATTCGAGCATGCGCCGCGAGAAGAATCTTAATTAAATACATGACGTATTGTTAAACATTCTGAGACTCTTTTTGCGTCATCGTTAGGAAAATTCCATAGATTCGTAAGTTTGTACAATATGTACAAGTGTGTAAATAGAATGTCTCGAATGGAAAGATTACGAAATCGACGTAATGACTCTTTTTGAATATATTTGAATTTTCATCCGGGCAACGTGTGTCTGAACATATCAATCTGCTTTCGTTTATCTGAAATTTATTAATATTTTAAAGCAATGTATATATATTTTTAAATTTCTTCATATTTTTGTACTATTAAAAGCACCACTATATTATTAAAAGTAAACCTAAAACAAAAATACAAATTCAAAGGAGCGCAAATCGAATAAATACCAGACGAAAATATCGAATCGTATCGTAAAGCTACTGTACATATCTGCGATTAGTTATAATTTAATAAATTCAATTGACTCAACACAAGTTGACAATAAGCGTAACAATTGAATGAATTGTCTTTTGATGTTCCACGAATCCTTCCATTCCTTCCTTTCACTCTTTTAACAAACTTGACGTTATCTGCGAGTAGTTTGTTTTACGTTTTCCTTTGATCGCTATTAATTAAGAGGCATTATCGAGTTCTGTTTGCATACGTTATCATCGTTCAGTAAATCAATCTCACACGGTGGAATTATAATGGCATTATTGCAAGTCAGCAACCTCGGCGATTGCGTTGCGCTCCTCAATTCTTGCTCAAATAGATGTTAAAAAGGCGCGAAAGATAGAAAGAGCGTTGCGTGCTATACATATCGCGAATCGCATTCGCCATTTGGTCTTCATAGGCAAAGGATCGATCGTCGATTCGCTCGACCAAGTCACGAAGGAAGTAACGATGGAGGATCCTCTTACAACCGCCAGCATTTTATTAGACACAACGGAGAATCTCGATCGCTTCACGTTCGGATGGCTCGATTACACGCTTTTCGGCCTGCTGCTGCTGGTCAGCGTCTTCATCGGCGTATACTTCGGCTTCTTCAGCAAGCAGGATAACACGACGGAGTATCTCTTGGGCGGCAAACGAATGGGATGCTTCCCAGTCGCGATGAGTATCATCGCTAGGTCAGTCACGTGAACAAATAAGTGAATTAAAGTTGCTGCTTCCTTTTACCTGCAATCGCGTGATTCAATGCTAGAAATCAGGAGGAGAGAAAAAAACTCTGCAAAAACCTGGTCTGCAAAGCATTTAATTTTTTCAAAATAAAAACTCTAAACTGCAGAATAAATTCTTCTTTTCTCAGTCCGCTTGATTTGTTTCGCTGCGATTAATTTTGTGGATTTTTTTATTTATAGCCACATCTCGGGCATCACCCTGCTCGGTATACCCACAGAGGTCTTTCATCATGGGACACAGTACACCGCGTGCGTGATCACGGCGAGCGTCACCGCCGTGGTCACCTGCTACGTGTTCCTGCCTGTGTTCTACAAACTGCAATTGACCAGCACCTTCGAGTACTTGGAGGTCAGGTTCGCCAGGCCGGTCAGGATCCTCTGCTCGGTGCTGTTCACCATCTCACTCTTCACGTTCCTGCCCATCGTCATCTACGTGCCCGCGCTCGCTTTCGGACAAGTCAGCCAACTGAGCGTTCACACGATAACACCGATCCTCTGCATCGTGTGCATTATTTATACTAGCATTGTAAGCGTTACGCGAGTGATGAAACTATTTTCAGATGTGTGTCATTCGAAACTCCTTGTCCCAGTTATCTTATCGGGAGCGAGGAATGTTCCTCTTGTGCAGTCAAGGACAAAAACCTTAATATTTCTAAATATTAATTAAATATAATGACGCGATAGAAAGATAAGTTGCGAATATTAAATTTTTAAGCAAAATAAGATTGGATTTTGTAAAATTTAAAAGTTATCCCGATTCCAAATTTCTATAATTCTACAATTTATATAATTTAAAACTTACTCACAGAAACTTGATATTTTCAAATATTACAATTCTGCTTGATGTCATTTAGGGTGGCCTGAAAGCAGTGGTGTGGACGGACACCATACAATTTTCTGTGACTGTTGGTGGACTTTTTACGATTCTCGTGCTGGGAACATTGTCTATCGGCAGCGTGGGGGAAGTATGGAGGATTTCCGGCGAGGGCGGTCGTCTTATCTTCTTCGAGTAAGATAAAAGCACAGATAAATATTAACTTACACAAGTTAATTTTGAGTCTTCAAAAAAACCTTGAATAGGAAAAATAAATCTGGACCTATTATTCATTATAAAATATTAAATTATGAAGGCTCGTAATGATCGTATATAGTATTTCATAAATTCAAATATATATTTTTTACTTTTATTAGCATGGACCCGAGTCCGTTCTCGAGGAACACCTTTTGGGGTATGAGCATAGGTATGACAGTTACATGGCTTGGACATCTCGGTATTCATCCGGGTGTGGTGCAGCGATTCCTGTCGGTGCCTAGAGAGATCGACGCCAAACAGTAAGTTTGCACTAAGCTCATTTTAAACGATACAATTCACAATAGAATGCTAAACAGATTTCAATTTATTTCATACGCTAATCTAATGCTTCATTGTGAATTATACGATCGTCTAAAACGGATTGTAAAGAATCACAAATATTTAGAGATAATTTTAAATACATTTATAATAATGCTCTTTTTCTTTCGCATGCAGCAGCACCGCGATTACTGCGGTAGGAATGATTATCGTTAAGTTGATCTGTGTGTTCACTGGATTGATCATGTTCGCCAAATATTACGACTGCGATCCTTTTCTAACTAAGGTATAATGAATTTTTTTCAAATTGGATTTAACTCTTTCAAACTTTTTCTCCTCATAGCAAATAAAAATTTTTTTACATACAATAAAACGATTAAAATTATGCAAAAATTATTTTAAAAATTGAAAGCCTCAAATATTATTTCATTTAAATCAAATAAAGTTTTTTTTTGTGCAATTAGATGTGAAAGAAATAAAAATATTGAAATATTCAAAGGAAGAAAACAATGTTTACATTTTTTTAACGTTAAAATTATGATATTTCTATCGTGAAAAATCATCTTATCATTCGCAGGTGATAAGCCGCACCGATCAGACTCTACCATACTACGTGATGGACGTTGCTGGACACCTGCCAGGACTTCCGGGATTGTTTCTGGCGGGTCTGGTGAGCGCCGCGCTTGCAACCATGAGCGCTAGTTTGAACACAGTTTCCGGTACCATTTACGAAGATTTTGTGCGTCCGTGGATGCCGGACGGTCCCAAGAAGGAAGCGACAGCTACTACCGTTATGAAGGTGAGTTCGACACGCACTTAATACAATTTTTCCACCGCTCGAATTGTCCGAAGAATTTTTTTTAACTTGAAAGATTTTAATCGATTCAATAATTGCCGCTGCTCAGATCATCGTCGTGATAACCGGCGCGATCTCGGTCGGTCTGGTGTTCCTGGTCGAGCGACTAGGCCCGGTCTTTCAGATAGCTGTGAGTACGCGTGGCATAACCGACGGGCCCCTGCTAGGTCTTTTCGTGATGGGGATGATGGTGCCTTGGGCAAACACAAAGGGCGTGCTGGTGGGCGGCTATACCAGTCTTATGTGTATGTTCTGGCTCGTGGGTGGCACGCAGTGGTATACCATGCAGGGCAAGATCAAGCACAGCTCCCTGCCTACATCGGTGGACGGTTGTCCGTACCCTTGGAACGAAACTCTGTCGAGCACAACGGCAATCCCCACCTCGACGATCTCCGATGAGGAGCCGATGACGTTGTTTCGAATATCCTTTATATACTACACGATGATAGGAGCTGTAATCGTCATTGTCGTCGGCACCATCGCGAGTTATTTCTTTGGCATGGATCTGGAGAACGTAGATCCGGATCACATCTCGCCGATGATGAGAAGGTGATAAAAAGTCAAGATTATTATTTTCTAGATAATATAGATCCGTCAATGGTCTTTAGACGAAAGTAGATAAGATTTATCGATTGTTTTTACGTAATAGTCTTTTATGTGCTTATCAGAGTCCAATTTATTATTAAACAAAACTTTGAGTATTTAAACTGCGACTTTAATCTCTAAGTATATCTTTTTCAGATCCATCTTTTTTAACAATACACTTCAATTAATTTTTTCTTTTAAATAATTTAAAAAAAATGTTAAGTTATTTGTTAGTATTCAATTTAAATATGTTGAAATTATGCTTCCGCCGCTGAGAGTTTTTGCAAACTTTGTTGTAGCGTGCAATCGAGTGTTAACGTAATAAGGGTAATCAGGAATCTTGCGAACGGTAGAACTTGAAGCATCATCGCGCTTCGCTTTACTTCGCTTTTCAGCATAATATATTATATCGGCGCTTCTGTAGTACGCAGTTTTCTATAAACCGGATTACAAACTCATCGTTGAAATAAGAGAAAAACATTCTCGCTCGTAAAGCGCATGTGAAGCATCATTTCGCTCGTAATCATTCTATCGCCGCCGATCAACTGGCGCAACGACAAAAATCTACGGGTCATCAAGGTGTGGAAGTACACCTTATGCACGTTATAAGTATAGAAATACAGCCGAGGTATAACGGTAATCACGCCTGTTCATTACGCGCGCGTAAAATACTCCCCGGGGTCTATCATGATCGACGTTTTCTTCGTGGCGTGTTTCTCCCTTTCTCTCTTTCTTGCGACGCGGGACTCTCATTTACGTTTTCTTCGCAGGTTTCTCCCGCCACGGAAATACGTCGAGGTCTCATTGAGAGAAGTACCGCCGTCGCACGATGCTGCCGGATTGGAGAAAACCAAGTGATCGGTAGTCCTGCCAGTCTCAGCAACTCGCGACTCGCGATCGATTCAGTGGGAACGTGCTCGACCTAAGGAATCCTCGGTGGGCCGAACGACTGCAGCGTGTCGCCCCGAGTCGCCGGCGTTTCCGAATCATCTGACAGCCGGCTGCAACAAACAAGGGTATTCCTTATTGATTAATAGACGCATGCGCTAGCTGTCCCAGTGGCACACACGCTGGAATCGCGGTTGTTTTCGATCTCTCAGTACCGTTTCCCCAGCGTCCGCGGAAGTATCTCTCCTATGTTTCCCCGCTCGGAAAAGCGACGTCGGGCGCCGGCAAAAGCGTTTCTCGATCGTATTTCAGCGTAGAAAGAATCGTCAAATTCAACTCAGCTTTGAGGAAGGATGTAGCTGATTATTTTTAAATAAAAGATTTGTTGATCTTTGAGACAATCTAATAATAAATCGACAAATTTAAGAGAGAGAGAGAGAGAGAGAGAGAAGTAAAATTGTAATTAG